GTTTTTAGCTCAAGCTCGTTTGTGTTGTTTTTTCTCGATGCTGTTTCAAGGTGCAAGTGTTCTTTTTTCCTGCCCATCATGGGGTTCAAGTTTCAAATGAACGTCGACGATATCTTTTTTCTAAGGTAGCAGCAGAAAACAATTGGGATCGTCGTTATTTATTTATGCCTATTAGGGGCGTTCGTTCATCGTCATCTTTTTCTTTTTCTGAAAGTACGAACGAGTCGAAATTTCATTCGCAATGGCAATGTCCTTGTATAAAAAACGGTTTTAAATCATGGGCTCTCAGCATTTGTAGCACATCAATACCATAATAATTGGTATAAAATTGTATTTATTTCTTGTGGCAAATTTTGTAAACAATAAAATAATAATAACAAATATACATATACACTTGTCAATTATATTCGAATTATATTTCACTTAAGCGAGAATGAAATAACTGTATATGCTCGTTCTTCGTTTAAAATGATTTGCGATTTGTGGTTACAGTCAACGGCCAAGGTGTGATTACCGATTGGTGTACACTTCAAGTGGGAATAACGTTAACCGACAGATCATTATAAATGGTTTCGTTATAAACGATTTCGACTCTATTTTTATTTTAATTTTTAATTCCTAACAATGTTTTTATTTATTTTTTTAACTTATATTTTCTTTTATTATATTTATACACGTATTTATATGTATATATATATATATATATATATATGTATTTATATTAATATATTTTTTTAATTTGTATATATTTTAAATATTTGTATTTGTATTTATATTTTTGTTTCTATCTAAAAATACTAATTTAAGTTATTTTACTATATTTTTATTTTATTTATTAAATATACATATTTATTATATTTTATTTGAAATTTTATTTCATAACTATATTTTAACATTTTTGTTATTTATATATTTAAATAACTATATTTATTGTATTTTTTAAATATTTTTATTTCTATTTCAAATGTCTTAAATTTTATTTTTATTTTTCTACTATATACTTATTCAATAATTTTTTTTTTATTTTAATTTGAAAACATTTAATAACCAATAATCATTAATCTTCCCACATACTGTTCACATTAAACAGCTGTTGTCGCCGCCTTTTTCTTTCTCATGCGCATACGCCATAATTGTTGGCTACTGGTTATCTCTATTACTCTCAACCACATGGCATATGACAACTCACACTCTCCGCCCTCTTCAACACACTCTTGATCAACTGACACTTAACCATGCTCATTACTTGCTGACACTGTGTGTCATTTGTATGGCTGACTAGCTGGGCAATGTGTGTGGTGTCGTTTTTTGCATTTTATTATCTCCCATCACATAACCACACAATATTTTGGCGGGCGTTGCTCTACAGAAATTATAGCTGTTATATTTTTTACATAAATAAGAAAAAATGAATGAATGGAGAAACAAGGAACAACGACAGCAGAGTTTACTCACACAAGACAGGCCCCTTTCTGCTGTTAACGAAAGAATAACCAAACACACTGAAGGGGTGGTGCAGACCGAAATGTGTGTACGTGTGTGTTTGATTGCTCTTAGCCGAATTTACTTTCTTGGCAATTTTGAGAGCCCAATACAACAGCAACAGGGAAAGGCCCCTGAAATTTCGAAATCTGTCGTCGTCGTTCGTTGTTCTTCGTTTGTTGTTGCAATGCATGATGTTGTTGGCAAGCAAAATCATTTGTGTTCCTTCGTGGAAGTCTCTCCTCTTTAGTTAGGGGAACTTGAACAACAACAATTATGAATGAGATTATTTACTTACTTGCCATATGTTGTTTGTTATTTTGACATTACTTGAGAGTAAATCTCTCAAGTAATTGATTAATGAAGCTGGGAAATTAGTCTCCAAGGATTTTAATTAATATTTTGCACATCACACCTGGAGAAATTCAGTTTTTTTATTGCCAAGCAATGCCAGGAAACCCAATTAACTACCATAGTTTTATTTGAGCATTCATCCCACTGCATCATGATGCAGCAGTGAATTACATGCATTTCAGCATTGGGTAGGTGCAAGTTTTTTTTTATTTGCCATATTTTTAATTAATTTTTGCTATCTTCACCGCCATGCCCCGGCAACACCGGCTGCTGTGCTCATCCATATCCCCATATAGAATACAGCATCCTTGCCTGGCCATTCATTCCCAAGCGATGTTTGGCTGCGTTTTTGTTTTGTGAGCCACGGCAGGCAGTCAGAGGCAGAGACAGACAGACCACTTTTGCCAATTAGTGAATTTTGTTGAAAGCTGAGACAACAAACAGCAGCAACAACAACGACAAGAAAGACAACAAAATGCAATCAACAACGTTTCTTCATTAGCAAAATAAATCCGACGAGAGATCAACCTACGCTTTTGCCATTGCCGCTTCTTCGAACCTAGTACATAAACATCTTCTTAATTAAAATCCTGACACAGCACATGCCAGCCGCTCGTCGTTAAACAAGCACACACACCCGAACGAACGAACAATTTGACTAATGAATGCCCTGCGGTAAGGTTGGGCAACATGCGTCCCAAGCTTCCTCTTTCCTCCCCCGCTATCATGACGCTTTCGACAGCAAGGAATCCAATTTATTTTATTGCCACAACCGAAAGCAAGAAAACTGAGAGGATGGATGGGTTGGCGTAAATACAACAGCAACAACTTTTTTAATTGCTTAATTGTTACAATGTAGTTAGTTATTGTGGTTGTTGTTGCAGCCAGATACGTAGATGGATGGATGATGGGTGTTCGTTTCGTGTTAATTTATGTGTGCGCATGTATAGAGGCGACACAACAAAAGACCTCCTCAACAGCACAAACTTCCATCGTTGTTATCAAAAAACAAAAAAAGCACGCACACACATCCGGATGAGGGTGTTGCAAAGAAACAATTCATGGCCACAGACACACAAACCATCTGGCAGCCCCCTCCGCCACCCTTCTTTAAGGAACTTGGGAATGAATTGTTTTAAAGTTGCTTAAGAAAATAATCAAAGACAGCCTTCTCTTTCCAAATTCCACCAGTCCACCAATAAGACAAACTAACTCTCACACCCATCCACCAGCCAAGGCAAGTAGTAATCATCAATGTTTAGTGCCGGACAAGCCTCTTTGTGAACAAACGGCCTATAAAGAAAGAAAGACAGTAAAGCAAGGAAAAAGTAATATGTCTCGTTAGGATGTTTTGTTGTTGTTGTTCGTTTCCTTATGACCAGCCTATATCATCATCATCTTCTTAGGAGAACAACTTTAAGGATATTTTTCTTGGCCTATTCCCACCCACAATTGCAAGAAACACACCCATTGCTTAAGTGCTTTCTGGGGTTTAATGCGGAGGCTCCACTAAGGTGGGGTTTTAAGAGAAAGGCTACAATGGGGAATGAAAAAATCGAGACGGCTTTAAAAGGGTTAATAAATAATTGTCTCTTTTCTTATGAGTCAATGACATTTTACCGTTCTACTTAATGACATGTTTGCTCTCTCAAACTTATTGTAAACCCCACTTATTGTTGTTTCTATAGGAGGTGTGAATTATTGAAATTTATTAAATACTCCCACACACACACAAACAACTTTCCATTCAATTCCATAATTAAATGGCAGCCAACGGACGGACATTTGCAATAAACAACACACACAATTCCCATTTGTAGCTACGCTTCTGTATGTACGAGCAGTAGCACATGTATTTTTGCATAGCCTTTGTGTTGCCCTGCCTATCCCTTTAAGCCCTCCCCCTCCTTCTCCTTCTACTCTACTAATGGACAACAATGAATGATTTGAAATTCACAAACGGTGGCGAGCAAAGAACAATCCCACCACATGTTTTTTTTCTTTCTTCTCCATTCATTCATTTGTTGAGCGGTTTGGTTTCCGGATAAAAGAAAATGATGATGGTGGTGGTGTTTGTTTTTGGTTTGGCTGCTTGGACATGCCAGCAAATAAAATAATACAATTTGTGGAAATCCAGCCAACCTTGTTAATAAAAATAAATTTGCCAGCGGAACAAACACACCCAAGGTCGCCGGCACCACCACGCCCTAGATACGCCTCAAATTCATCAAATGTAACAGGAATGCATAATTATCTGCACTTGACCCAGCTGGAGAGAGAGACAGAGAGTTCGTTCTTGTGCTTAAACACACTCACCATCCATTAACATCACCAACAATAATGTTGACGGCGGCCTCGCCTTCAAATAACTGCCACACAGAGAGAGAGAGGTGATGGTTGCTGCTGGTTGGTTCTCTTTGTTGTATTTGTTGTCTTTGCGACAGCTGATGTCAATGTCAGCATTAAACAGACAGACAGTGTGATGTTTGTGTTGTTGCGTTGAATTGTGAATTGTGTGTTGCCTCCCCTTGCATGTTTAAGTTGTGTTTGTTTCTGGTTTTCATTTGATTCTCTTGGCCACTGCTAGGTGGGGGTGTGTTTTTTCTGATTGTTTTTGTTTTGCCAGGCCTACACCCTACACTGTGTGTGTATGACTAAAGATGGGTGGCGTTAAGAGTAAAATATGAGGCATGAACGTTTACGGCTGAATTTTTTTGTAGATTATAACAGAAGTGTGTACGGCCGTAGTATAACACATATATATTAGAGCACAAGCTATAAAGCGTTAAATGCCGAACCACAATGAGAACGGGAAAAACAAATTAAAAAATGAGAATTATTATCCCAAACGGTATGGATTTTATCAACTTGGAAGGTCAGTCGATTAAAATAAATTTAAGGACAGATACCCTGTGTGAATTATGCCATAGAAATGGGTTAAAAATATCGGATCAGTTTCCGTAAAATAGAAACAAAATACAATAACTTCAATAATTTCTTCCTCCCAGCGAGGATTTTTAATCATCCCTAAGTTACTGACGTTTCTATTGGAAAATGACCTAAGACCTTTTTTTAACACAAATTAGACAAGATAATTCTCAACATTTTGTTTATATTTTAATTTTATCATTTATTATTGTTTATTTGGTTATATATTCACTCCTTTAATGATAATCATCATCGTCGTCATCATCCGAATTATTATCTCGATCTCGTGCATCTCTTCGCCTGCTGCTACTACCACCTTTATCACGTTTCGATGTTGCTGTATCATCACCAGATCTTTTCTTTCTGTCATCGCCATCACCCGTTTGTAAACCATCTGACCATTTACCACGTGGTGCATCTGAATAAGAACTTGGATCCATAGGATCTACAATATCACTATCATCACGTTGACGACGTCTTGAATCATGACTACTGCTGGATGTATAACGATCACGATCTCTATCTCTTTCACGATCACGCTCTCTATCGCGATCAACACGATCACGATCCCTGTCGCCGCCACGGTCACGATCTCTACGCTGGCGACCAATTCTATCCAAATCACGAGATTTTTGTTTTCGTGGCAATTGCACCGATGGACTATCCGCAACTTCTTGTAGACTAGGAAATTCATGCGAATCAATGGAACGTGGGGATTTGGAACGCATTGAGGCATTAATAATTTCATCTACCTCACGATGATGACGTGATTGGGCAGATTCTCTTGCGTTGCCATCTCCTTCATTATCACTCTGTTCCTCGGCATCACTATCCACACCTGTGCCACCCTCTCCAGTTGATTCTTCCATTTGTTTGCGTACGGCAGCAGCACATTTGGTGATTTCCGATTTCGGATGGGTTGGTGGCAGCCACGATACAACATTATCGGCTTCACAGGCAAAATAATAACAACCACAACCAGGGTCATACATCTCTACCCATCCTTTCGGTAATGGATACTTGCGTATCAGTCGTTTATAACGTTTCATATATTCGGGCGATGGCCGCGGAATACCTTCGGACCAACGATTCACACAGTACACCGTGCATTTATGCCAAATATTATATTTATTGGGACAGCAACGATAACCGGCAGCAGAATTAGCTTCACCCATACGTGTTTTCATCTGGGCCAACCAATTGTTTTCCTCTACCGGTTTACGCACCGTGTCGTGGTCCAAATCATATTGTGATGGATATTGATAATCATCGGAATTCTGGCCGGGACCATGATCCGTGTCCATTTCATCATAATCCTCGGCAATGACTTCTTCATTATCAGCGGCATGGGATGGTGGAACTGGAGGTTCTAAAAAGGGATGCATCAATTGTTGTTAAAGATGTGATTTGGGATGAGTGCCCTACCCCGTATTCTTACCATTTTCCTTTTGTGATTTTTGTTTATTTACCAGGCCACGTTGGGCCAATCTGGCCAGCAGTGCTGGTGGCAAACTCATCGTAATACTTTTATTCAGCTAATGTTTTTATTAAATAATTTATTCAACAAATTTATCCAAAGTTAATTTTGTACCAAAACACACGAGTTCAAAGAACGATTCAATGAAATGAACCATAGGAACTATGGTTGAGAGGGTCTCCATTTTAAGTGAATAGCAGACGTGTAATCATTTTACAGTGGATAGTATGAGCGAAATGAACAGAGTGAGAGAGTATGTTCAGTCAATGAACTACCGAGTAACCGTTTAGCGATAAGCAAGGTATATTTAATAAGGTAGCCGCATCGGCCCAGCTGTTGGACAAATAAATGTCAAAAATGTTGTTGTAATGTTGAACCAAAAAATTAAAAAACAAAATTATGAATGAAAATCTCCGAATTTCGAAGAGCTTTTTTGGCAATACTTTTATTAACATTTTCTACAAGAATTTGTGTAAAAAAATGTTGCCAATCTGTTTGTTTTGGCAAAATATTTTTGACATATCAAAATACAACAACCGATGTTTGTTGTAGAAATTCGCCGATGCGGCTACCTTGTATATCTACCTTGGCGATAAGGAAGTCAATCATCCATAAGTCGAATTTATTAGCGTGGTTTTATATTTGCCGGGATCGGGATCGGTGTTGAGAGTCTCTCTCTCTCTCAGTGGTAAATTGTGAATTGTGTTGGAAAACATTGCCACAGGTAGGAACAAAAAAGTACGAAAAGGTACCTAAAATTCTACTTCAAATGATAATAAATCATAATTATCGAGAAATATTGGCCAATATTTATACCATTTGTTTGCATAAATAATATATGTTATAATTTAAGCGTAAATGTATCCACGAATAATAAAAAATATAATTTTTGTTTTGGTACGTTTATGTCAATTCGTACCTTTTGTGAACAAAAAGTACGCTTGTTACAAAATTAAAAATAGCGCAACTCTAATTACTCTCTCAAGAGAGAGAAACTCTCAACACCGATCCCGATCCCGACAAATATAAAACCACACTTACAAATGTTTTTAATAACATACGCAAGGTATATTTAATAAGGTAGCCGCATCGGCCCAGCTGTTGGTGCAAATAAATGTCAAAAATGTTATTGTAATGTTGAACTAAAAAAATTAAAAACCAAATTATAAATGAAAATCTCCGAACTTCGAAGAGCTTGTTTGGCAAAATTGTTATTAACATTTTCTACAAGAATTTGTGTAAAAAAATGTTTTCAATCTGCTTGTTCTGGCAAAATATTTTGACATATCAAAATACAACAACCGATGTTTGTTGTAGAAATTCGCCGATGCGGCTACCTTATATATCTACCTTGAACATACGTAATCAATTAAGAAAACTCAAAAAGAAAAATAAAAAAAACAATTATTTTTGTTATTATATGTTTATTTTTGTCGATCCTTGTGATATTTACTATTATCTATTATTTTTAGAGCTTTTATTAGAGCAAATTGTCAGTTGATGCATAACATCGCCCGTAAATTAATTGTCCCGCCAAAATTTAAACATTTAAAATTAAATATGATTATATATTATTTAAAACTGAATATGAATATATTTTGTTACCAATTTGTTAGTTTAATTATTAAAAAGTAGCAATAATATTTGTTTCCTATCTGGAACTTTCTTTTGAATTCGCGATCAGACTTTTATTGACTTTCTCTGATAAGTGTAACCGCCGCCAGCTTGCTCATCAACAACCAGGGCGAATTGTTATTTTCTCGCACCCTACCATTTGACATCTTGAGTAGTTGCAACAGCTGTGGTACTTCGCCCAGTGGATGACTCGATTACTCTGCCATATCGCCGACATGTGCTTTTCATTGGCCATCGCAATTTTCTCATTTGGTGTCGAGTCGTCGAAGAATTCAGATAGTGAGTATTCCAATCGAATTCGTGAGTTGGCCAAGGGCTCTGGGGGTTATTTTGCAAGACATGTGCACAGCATATTTTTCATCTTTTGTGCATGGCGCAGACGACAACGACGAGAAATTGATGCCATATTTTGTCGTGTTTTTGTGAGCGTTTTTATTTATTTACATTCTCGTCTATTGTTTTTGTATTTTAGGACCTGCATCCAATCTATTCATACTACAATACACAAGACCACGTTAAGTAACACGCCGTAATAAAATAACGCTGTGTAATTATCCATTCGGTGGCCAGAATACAGGAGATATTCTGCAGAGCAAACACCTTTTGTTGTTCTTGTTCCAAACGTCGTAATTACGTCTTTGGGATACAAATTTCGTGTGCCAAAAATTCGAATTCCATTATACATACAAACAGTTCAGTGTTCAGTCAGTCACCCGAAGAAGATATTCAAAAGAAAATGTCAGCGAACGTTGTACCCACAAATGGATTCAAGCCCACCAATGGTGTGAATGGTGTGAATGGTGATGAACTCCAGGATGGTCTATCGTGTACAGAATTGTTTGCCAGTACAGAAGGCTTGACTTACAAGTAAGTATATTGTGTGTGTGTGCGTTGATGTATTTTTGGCCCCCACAAGGCAGATGGATAAACCTGTTTGCCGGTGGTGCTGGTGGCGGAGTGTGTGTGTTAATGATGATGATGTTGTTATTGTATCTTCTAATGTTTATTTACATTTATATTCTTTTCTTTTTTTGTCTTCTAGTGACTTTCTCATACTGCCCGGTTATATCGATTTCACTGCCGAAGAAGTTGATTTGAGCTCACCTCTAACCAAGAAGATTAGGCTACGTGCACCCTTGGTGTCGTCTCCTATGGACACAGTTACAGAATCTGATATGGCTATTGCTATGGCGGTATGTACAAAAAAAGCACCGTAAACAACAGATGAGATTTACTTTAAATTAGAATAGGCAGAGATAAGATAGGAATGAGATTTATCGGTTATAAACAATTAACACAATTTGTTTTATTCTTTTTTTAGAATTGTAATATAATTTTATTGCTTAAATCGAATAAGAAGTAAATTTTAATGTGGAGAGAGTTTTTAAAATGCCCAGTAAAATAATAGAATATTGTTGTAATGACGTCATTGCTTACAAAGGAGCCCAAAAAGTTCAGTCCCTTGGAAATTAAAAAGAAAAATATCGTTTGCTTATAGGTATTTTCAGACGTATCATCTAGAAGAGTATTATTTTAAATGAATCATTTTTATGAAATTTTCGCCAATATGGTTATTTTTGGAATTTAAATTAGAACATAATTGCAACTTCTATCTTTAATAAATTGCTTCAATCAGTTTCATATCGTTGTATGTCATAAGGATATTTTGTAATAAACATTTAAAACAATCTTAGGGCTGATACAAATTCAAAATTGAAATCAATTTAAAATAATATACTTTGGAAGTCTAAAAAAACTTTTGTTTATAATTTCACTTTACAATTAATTAAATTTTAATTTTATAATCTTTTTTTCATTACAGTTGGGTGGTGGCATTGGTATTTTACATCACAACTGCACCCCTGAATATCAAGCCAATGAGGTGCACAAGGTTAAAAAATACAAGCATGGCTTCATACGTGACCCCTCGGTAATGTCGCCCGATAATACAGTCGGTGATGTTCTGGAGGCCAGACGCAAAAACGGCTTCACTGGCTATCCCATTACCGCTGATGGCAAATTGGGTGGCAAATTATTGGGTATTGTGACGTCACGCGATATTGATTTCCGTGAAAATCAGCCTGAAATCAAATTGGGCACCATAATGACCACTGATCTAATAACCGCTCCCAATGGCATTAACCTACCCATGGCTAATGACATTTTGGAAAAGAGCAAAAAGGGTAAATTGCCCATTGTCAATGAGAATGGCGAATTGGTGGCCCTTATAGCTCGCACAGATTTGAAAAAGGCTCGTTCCTACCCGAATGCCTCAAAGGATAGCAATAAACAATTGTTAGTGGGTGCTGCCATTGGTACCCGGCCCGAGGATAAGGATCGCCTGAAATTGTTGGTTGCCGCTGGCGTTGATGTTATTGTTTTAGATTCTTCGCAAGGCAACTCAATCTATCAAATTGATATGATTAAATTCATTAAGAATACCTATCCGGAGCTGCAAGTTATTGGTGGAAATGGTAAGTACAATAAAGAAAATTAAAATAGAAATTTTATTTAAAAGAAAAATATTTAATTTTTTTTTTAAGAATTTATTTGAGATGTTATATGGATTCTTATATGAATTGTGTTTTGTTTATGATCTCTACGAAATATTTGTTTTTCAATATATTACATATTTTTCCCCCACACTCCACATGGTGCAACATGTTCTTAATGTGATGTAAAAATTAACTGAAGCATTTTATCAGTTCAAAAAATCGACAATATCAATTTCAAGACTTTCAACACGGCCAGATCATTTCAATATAACTTTCAATTAGAATAACATATGAACAACAGTTTAATTTCATATTTTCATAGTTTCTGATATTGCAAGCTATTTTCCACGTAGATACATTTCATTACGAACATGTTTTTTTAGTTTGTAAACTAAAGATCGATTGGTTTAAGGTCACTCATATTTACCAATAATATTTTTATTATTTTCTATTTCAAATTCATTCGAAATGATTTGAAGCATCTTCAAAATAAATTTTTCTTCGTTCCATATAAATCTATGAATATCCCAATATATGGCTTTTTTGAGATCCTCAATTTTTTTTTATTTAATATTTAATCTCCTAGTTAATTTCCTTTTGTATAGTTGAATGTAATTTTTTGTTAATGTTATTTGTTTTCAAATTCCTTAAGTTGCATTTGTCTACCTTAACGCACATTCCACCCTTCACACATTCATTAACCACATATCATTTGCTTCTTTTTCTCTTTTCTCTTCCAAATGTATTTCCATTACAGTTGTTACCCGTGCCCAGGCTAAAAATCTCATCGATGCTGGCGTTGATGCTTTACGTGTTGGCATGGGTTCCGGTTCGATTTGTATTACCCAGGAGGTCATGGCCTGTGGTTGTCCCCAGGCCACCGCTGTCTATCAAGTTGCCTCCTATGCCAAGCAGTTTGGTGTACCCATTATTGCCGATGGTGGTATTCAATCGATTGGTCACATTGTCAAAGCTTTAAGTTTGGGCGCCAGTGCTGTCATGATGGGTTCTCTGTTGGCCGGTACATCGGAGGCTCCCGGTGAATACTTCTTTTCGGATGGTGTACGCCTAAAGAAATACCGTGGTATGGGCTCGCTAGAGGCCATGGAAAGACGAGATGCCAAGGGTGCTGCCATGTCACGTTATTATCACAATGACATGGACAAATTGAAGGTGGCCCAGGGTGTAAGTGGCAGTATTGTCGATAAAGGTTCCGTTTTGCGTTACTTGCCATACCTCGAGGTGGGCTTGCAGCACAGTCTCCAAGACATTGGATGTCGTTCCATTGATGAGTTGCGTGAATCGATCTACACCGGTAAATTGAGATTTATGAAACGTACCCATTCCGCTCAAGTGGAGGGTAATGTACATGGTCTTTTCTCCTACGAGAAGAGGCTCTTCTAACATTCACTGCCCTGCACTCAGGGGGCAACAAAGAAATCGAAAAACAGCAGCAGCAGCAACCAGAATTTAATGGATTCATCGCCCGGTGGCAGTCGTAATTTGGCGCTGGGTGGTAATATATATGGAACACATTTTAAACAGGATAAATTCCCCATTAAACGTAGTGCTTATTGAAATGGTAACAATTTACAAAAAACACTAAAGTTGAAGAAGAAGAAGAACAACAACAAGTACTTATATATTATTAACTATTGAAGCTAAATGATGACAACTCAGTTATATTTTATAGAAAAAAAACTTTAAAAATCTTAAAATTATTTGAGCATGGCTAGTAGAATTGGAAACCTGTGCTCAACAACAACAACTATATGAAATTAATGTACTTATTCTTATTTGCAATGCCAATGAAAATCTCTGTTCTAGTTCTAATATTTTTTAAATAATTTAACAACAACAAAATGCTGCTATATTTTTCCAAATTTCTTTGTGCTGTACTTTAAAAAACAAAACAAAAAACATGACTAAGACCTATTATTTTTAAGCTTTAAATTCAATTTCCTAACGATTTTTTTTAGAACACACACACAAAACAAATCTCAAATATAAACAAATTGGCATTATTTCATATTTCAAACTCATTTGCCGTAAATTGGAAAACAAAACCCTATTTTGTATTTTTTACTCTTTTTTTACAAATAAGTTTTAATTTTTCATGTGCTATGATTTGTCTTAAGAACAAAAAACACAAAAATACCATAATTAATGTTGCCAATATATTTTTTATTATTTTTAAAACCATTATTGTGAAATCATGCCTATATCTCCAAATACCTATATCTATATACCTATTATAAATGAATGTATAATGTTTACAGTTTTAAAATTCTATATTAAAGTATACATATATAACTTTCTATATAAAAATAGTATTTAAAATAAAAAAACAAAAATATAAATAAAGAAAAATATATATATTATTGGAAAAAATAAAAATATGTTTGTATCTAATAATGGCAATAACAAACCAGCTAGGGTGTTGATTTTGTAACCCAAATAATATGGGGCTTCTTAATAGCCATTCAAAAACAATGTTTATGAATGCTTTGCATTTCTTGGGCTTCTTCTTCGGTGAGTGACACACGCAAATAGCCAATTGCCTGTAGGTTCTGTTCGATTTCAATTTCCATCAATTGGTGGCCACCAATAATTTTATTACGTTGTTGTTTGCTTTTTGCTGGGCTTTGCAAAAACACACTACTATGTATGTATTTATGTCATAAAAATGTAATTTCCATCAATAATTTAATGAAGCGTAATTACTCTTTGCTTTAGTTTGTTGTTTGTAGTAGCATACTATGTACAGTGAAAGAGGGGGTACGATTATATTTCCATTTTATATACAAACTATTCAGTTACATATTGAAAATGTGGGGTTATTTTTGCATGGACATCCCACCCATCCACCTGTTATCAGCAGTTACCATCTGTAATTGCCTGTAATAAAATTTTGTGTCAAGTTGCCTGTCGTCTGGTCTGTCTATTGGTTGGTTATGCGTATATTTAGGTTATGACAACTCGCATTTTAACCGGCTTCCAGTATAATTGGATCCTGTCCAAGACATATAGACTAACATAACCAAGTAAGGATAGGTTGATACACAATTATATATAATCATATAGGTATAACCATATTTTCGATGATGAAAGATTCAGAATTATTTGTCTTCCATGATTGAAAGTATGGTATATGAGAAATCTATATAGAACAGACACAAATGAGATGATTGAATCAAATGTGAAAAAATTAGTTAGTTAGAGTTTGGTTAGGGATTCAATGTTGTGGCAATCGGCAACTGTAGTCTATATTACAACTAGTCCTCAAAATTTCTATAATTAAATTTGCCTCTAGTTTAGTAAGAACGATCAGTTTTTTTTCCAGAGGTAGGCATTTTTACCCTAATTATGGAATTATATTTTTTCTTGGTGGACGTACCCGGTCATTTTACCCATTCCACTTAGTGGTGATATGAAGGGTTATCTCAAACCGTTTGGGAGATACATCAAAAACCGTGGTTTGGATACCGATTTTCTTGAATAACTCCATAAAATCGAACTATGGTCCATTATAGTCCCTTTCCTAACCTGAATCAAATTATAGACTAGAATTTTCCTCTTTTCAAAATGGCACGATATATGGCTGTAGGTGTTGTGGATCAAAAGATATGGGCCTTAGAATCCTAAAAAAACAAGAGAATTCTTTTTTTAAATGATACCCATTTGTATTAATCGGATCCGTAGAACCGGATACCCGTACCTGATCGATAAAACGATAATCGGGTAAGTCCCCGAAGAAAAAAATTATACTCATAATTAGGGTAAAAATACCTAAAATGGATCGTTTTTACTAAACTAGAGTTGTTCAATTCTCTACGTATTTATTATTTCTCGTTATCAATTAGTCTATGATTTATTCCTTAATTTCTTTTTGGAATACATTTTTCTTTGTACCGCTCTATTTTTTCTCCAGGCCAAAAAGAATACGATTAATATCCATCCTTTCAGTAAAAGTAATATTATTCATATTTTTACCCCATTTCATAGCTTATTTTTCAAACAACATTAGTTAAGCCGTTTTGTCACAACAAGCACACCGTTCGAGCATGCACACGCATACATATTCTATCTGACATTTTCTCGCATTGACTATCATCATGACAATTGCATGGCGGCATTTACGTTACGTTCGAGGCCGTTTGATTTTGCTGATTGCCTGGTGGTAAGCGAATAATTCGAATGTTGATGTTGCGAAATAAATACGGTAAAGTATTCTTGTTGTTGTTATTTTGTTATAATTAAGTGGTTAGGGAAGGAGGCTGGCCGCCAGTAACTACATAAACAACAATGGCTTGCTGCTCTCTTTCACTGAGAGGGTTTGTTTATTGTGTCTATCATACGGCAATCAACAAATTGGGGGAAACAGCTGATTTATTTTATAGGAAGGAAATAAAGCAAGTTTTTATAAAACATATTGTTATTTAAATAATAGGTGTGTCTGGTTACCCTAAAGTTTGTAACAATTGTTACAAATTGTTACTGGAAGTCGTCTGTTAACCCAAAAGTTCTGCAAAAGAGAGCGGTTGGAGAGAGAAATTTTGACAGTTCTTTCAGTGAGAGTTTGCAAATTCTTGCTGGAAAAATTTCTTCTTGCAATCTCTTGCAACTCTTCTTCTTCTCATACATCGACATTCAATCAGATGTTTTCTATTGTTTGTTTATTTATTTTTGTGCTTTCAATTTGAAAATAATTTTTTTTGGAATTATCAAGACTAATTGTTTTTGTTTTTGTTAAACTGGTTGTGTTTTCTTTCTTTTAATTCTTTATAATGGCGGACAAATTGGTTTGTTTTGACAAATCAGCTGATTAGTTGCAAGCTTCTGCAGGGATGCCGTCTGTTTACTTTTCGCATTTTTCTTGCAAAAGAGAATAAAACTACCTTACTCTCTCAGAAAGAAGTTACTGGACAATTCCTGCAGGGAAAGTAACCAGACACACCTAATGCTTGTCAGTCAAAGGTTCGCTCATTCATCTATCTATATACATACATACATTCATCCTTAGTTCCATTTGTAGTGGGATATCAGTATTCATTGCTTGTCATGCCATACAGAGGAGGATGCTTTGGAGAAAGCAGTTTTATTATGTGAATTTAGGTGTATGTGTGTGTTTTATAACCGGATTATTTGTTTCATCACATCTGCATGCCGGCCGTCGCGTAAAATAGGCCTATTTTAACGGTATATAAATGCCAGGAGTTCAAAATGCATGGCAAGTGTTTGATGATTCACTCGCCTGTTTGGGGAAGAGGCTTTAAGAATTGTTGTGTTGGTAAAAATGTGCCTATTGTTTGTTTGTTATACAAAATGTATTATAATAAATATTTCGCGTTTATTTTAGAATGCAAATAAAATCAACAAATGATTTTGTTTTTTTTTGTAGGATTTTAGATTCTTCTGCTGGCAGAGATTTTGTAACAAGGTACATTTATAAAATATTGGAAACAGTATTATGGTAGTTATTACAAGGATTTAAAGGATAGTGCAAGAGATTAGATTTTATATTTGTAATTTAACTACATTATTTTTACAGACATACATACATATATATTTGGTATGGGCGGAAGCCATAACATTAAGGCGAATCCTTTGAAAAAAATCCTTCCTTTACGAGTATTTTTTGATTTTTTGTACTCCTCGCATCCGATGTGAATGATTGCTGTATGTACACTACCACTCTCTTTAATACATACTGTATTGGTTTTTTAGTTGTTGCTTGTTTTCGAAAACATTTTGCTTGTTTCAGAATAGCCTGAAGCCAAAAAAAAACACAAAACGAAATGAAATAAAGGACGTGGCAGAGGCAAAGGCATTGAACAAGAAAAATCACCACCTCAAACAAACTCACTGATGCGGATGGTGGCAATGGCCATTTCTCTGAAAAGCTGTGCTCCTGTTCGAAATTGATAATCATTTGCATAAATATCGTTAAATGTGTGCGTGCTGTGGTGCTTGTGCTGGCTTGGCTGGATGATGATGTACCGCAATTTCAAATAAAAAAAAAAAAAACAAGACACGCGTAATGATGATTGACGCTTTATTAAAAGGTCTTTAATGATTATCACTTAAAATTGTAATAATCATCAATGTATGATGCTTTTGCGCAATGCAACAACAACACGCACACATCCTTGGACATACTATCATCATACATACATAAAAATAGTAATTCAATTTGTATTATAAAATTGTATTTACACGAAAAAAGTATTTTAAGGAAAGGTAGGATACATTTGTCTATTTTTTGATTTATATACATGTATATAATATTTATATAAAAACATTTTTTTAATCTGCTTTAATAATTCAATAAATTCAATTAGAATATTAACCTTGTTATTGTTGTTGTTTTTCCAATGCAAACGAACTCATTTCACACAGTGCTATATACATATGTATGTGTGTATGTACTGTTGTTTTCGTTTCATATACACCAGCACCAACCCAACCACTTGACGCTTTTTTGCTCCTTGAAAGAAATACATTTCGTTCATTGTGAATATAATATGCATCCATGCAATTCCATTCTAAAATTCAACAATATTGAATTCCTACAGAAAATGCTGATAGCCTATTAACGTGTATTTCGATTATTTTCTGGAAAATATTAAAAATGTCTGGGAACATTTTTTATTATTGTTGTTGTTGTTTGATGAGATAGATCCAACACTCTCCAACATGATGTGGTCATTCAAAATACATAAAATGGCTCGAGTCCTTTATATTATACCATGTCATTATTAATTGTATGACAGGAGGTTTTCTTATCCTCAGATAATACGAATTTCCAAATTACAGTCACTTCTGTTGGGGCCGTATCGTATCACATTCAATGCCAGAACACTAAGCTTGAATACCGCTATGTGCAAATTTAAAAATTTCTAACATGCATTTTGTAAGCTGGAAAATAATTTACTCAAAAAATATTGTATTTGTGCAATAAAACCATATTATTTTTTAAACCCACTTCTCAAATATTCCTTTATTTTGCGCTTAATACAAATTATCGTTTGACTAAAATTACCCCCTCTATTCGATGAACAACGGGTTTTGTTTCTCTGTGATTTCATAGCATTCAGCTTTTATATATAATCTTTATATGTGTATATTAATTACGTGGATTTTATATTAATTTTACTAGAAGCTATCAGTTAATTATTAATTTTAATTTATAAATATGTGTTCCTCATTTCAATTATATATATATATATATATATTTTATTATTTAAACAATTATTTACACATATTCATTAAATAAATTATTATTTATCGGTGATAAATACCCGGTATCTTATTATCGTTTCTAACTATCGATATTTCGATGTTCATAACATTTTTGACAACTGACAGTTAGCACACTCTCTCTGGATGAGAGAGTCTTGATATAAAAAAACAACCACCAGCACATTATCGTTATAAAAAAGAAAATGACTAAATCATATTTATTAATTCTACATTTTTAATAAAAACAACAATATTTAAATTATTTTTTTTATGAAAACTAATTTTAAATGTTTCATTTTATGTAATTTAACAAAAGTTTAAATATAAATAAATATTAATTTTATCTTTTATACTCACTTTAGTTTTATATCAATGACATTACAAATTCCCGTACTTAGTCTCTTTCCCTATTGGAACGTCAAACGTTTATTCACTCACCTCAATGACAAGGCTCCAACAAAATAACAAAATTCACAGCTCTCCGTTCTATATTAACCCCATATAAATCAGTTATGTGGGGATTTTTGGAGAAAATACAACGACGCATAGTAGTTGAAAATAAAAAGCAGTTGCTGTTTTAAGATAGAGAGAGAGAGGCCTGTGAAAAAACATCAAAAAACGGGGTTCATAATTTTTTGTGTGACGGAACAGATTACTACAACGTTTGGCCAGTGAAAAAATCGAATAGAAATATTACAAAGGAATTCTGTGTGGTTTATTGAACAAATTGCTAAACTAAAAAACAGCAAAATGGCTTTGAAAATGTTGGTTGGACAAAGTAAGTAGCTGGGCCAGCAGCCTTGGAGTGCATGCAATTCTATTGGAAATTGAAGTCGGAAAAATATGTGAAAAAAAGAAACTTATCTATGCTAATTGGTTGTGTTAAGTGTGGAAAAAAGTGGAGTAGACGAAATGTGTTAAGGCTCCACCTTGAATTACCCAGATAATAAAAAAGAAACAAATAAGTGATTTTTGGAAATGTGTCAAGAAAATGCTGGCATATGAACTGTTGGAGATACCTCCATCATTAATGGACTTATTGGTCTATTGATTTTTCCCAAGCTTATGGTGCTGCAAATTGTGTATTTGTCTGCCTGGCGCCCCCCTACGCGTATTGACCTTTTTGGCTGGATGGTAGGGTTGGTTGATCTAGAGATTTCCAACCCTCCCCCATACGAATAGTGGTGTAGGTTTTCTGCATTGGATACCGAAAATAATATCCCTTCCCAAGTGAATGCGCAAATGCGAAAAACGTCATTACAAAGTGTTGTGTTTAGGCATTTATGGGTTTTCCTGAAAAATGGTTGCCCCCCACCAAAGCCCTCAAAATAACAACTCCATGAGAACAACTGTCAAATCATAAATGTTTTATGTGTTTATTTTTCTCTCCGTGATGTCATGAAGGATTTTTTTTTGTTTGTATTTTTGACATTAGTTGTCATAGTTTTGTTTTTGTTTACAAAATACCCTACATTCCATTCAGCAGAATATTAAGTTAATTAACCCGTTTGATTAGAGATTCTCAAATAATTCTTTTGTTATTTCCGCCCTCAAGTTTAAGAGGCGGATTTTTTTCCTATGTGTTTTTTTATTATTAAACAAAAGTGAGTCATAATTTGTTAGCGTTGTTTTTGTTGTATGACTTGTTTTCGCTTTCTCATAATCATCAATATCAGACAGAAGGCAAGGCAGCACGATGATGACAACAAAACAACACAAATATGTATTGAATAAAATTACAAAACTATGTTTTATATTCAAAACGACATGGATGATTAGATTAGATTCTTCAATTCTTAATCCCTGAATATCTGTGGAAGTTTTACGCCTCAGTGGTGGCATATCTGTGCGCTTCTGAGTCAACTCCATCCTCTATCATCTGTTTTGGAGTTTATATCTGATTCAAAAACTGACTTTATTCCTTAGGTTGACAAGAGAATGTAGTGAGTAGATTCAATTGAGTGATTTCACTGGCAGAAGAGCATACACCCAGGTCTCATTTGCCATCTACAATTGCTTACCTTAACGTTGGTTAATCGATCCGGACTCGTCAGATATATTACTCCCTACGATATTAATGGACTTTGGGGCCTCTTTGTTTGCAGTAATGTCCTCTACATCACTAAACTCAAGTTCTTCAAGCTAGAATCTATACATTTTTGGGCGTGATCATTTCCTTGGAGCGGGCGGAGTCTATCTAAACCTGTCCAAAGTCTTTCTTTGGGACTTTCGCTAATTCTCTGTCTTGATTCACTAATCTAACATCCACACTATCAGAATAAAGACTGCAGTCGTTTTTCGATGTCAAATCTGCAACCAGATCGGCTTCATATTGTATAGGCCTTCTCGAACTACTTTCTTTTCAAAAAATCCGTTCTCCTAATGGAAACACTTTTGTGTCTGATTTCTTGTTTGTCCACACTTTATTTTAATGCTCTATTTTCATATATTTTAATCTTCCTATATATTAATATTTTTAATATTAATTTTAAATTATTTTTCTTTTAGAAATTATGAACGAGGTGGTCAAATATAAACCGCCACCTCCCAAGAAAGGAGCCACTGCTGCTAGTGCTGCAGCTTCTAAGGCTAACATGGATTGGCGTGTGCTGGTTGTTGATAAGTTGGGCATGCGCATGGTATCGGCCTGTACCAAAATGCATGAAATCAGTGCTGAAGGCATTACATGTGAGTACCACCACCGTTAATTCAATTTAAATGACTCTCAAAATAATAAAATATCCATTGATATTCGACAGTGGTGGAAGATATTAACAAGAAACGTGAACCTTTACCCTCAATGGATGCCATTTATTTGATAACACCATCACAAGATTCTGTGGCTGGTTTGATACGTGATTTTGAGAATCCAGCTCGTCCCATGTATCGTTATGCCCATGTGTTCTTCACTGAGGGTAAGTGGGGCGTTTACAGGACCTCAATACGAAAAAAAGGATTTTCTTTTCTTTTGAGTTGTGATTTTTTTTTGATTTTCTTTTTATTATAATTTTTTGTTTGTTTTTATTTATTTGTGATTAGCCGTTCCTGACGATATATTCGAAATGATAAAAGCTGAAAAACAATTAGTCAGCCGTATAGCTTGTTTCAAAGAAATCAATATTGCTTTTCTAGCATATGAGAGCCAGGTATAAAAAAACAATTACAACAAAATCTCAACTTTTGCCATATATTGGCAAATTTGCCAAAAGTGCATTTTTTATATGTCCATATTGTTATTCCGCATTTTCATTTACATGTATGCGTGTGTGTGTGTTTATCTTTTCTATCTCCATGCCATGGATGGACAATAATTTTCAAACCCAATACTAACTTCTAACAGACAACATACACTACCGTGCCGCTTAATGCTGACAAACTAATGTCGCCTAATGCAATTAATACTACACTCCATCCATTACAATTCATATTAAATGTCCATGTCGTCTTCTATATTTATATTGTATGTCTTTTTTTAAGTGTGGTGTGTGATTATATCATAAGGATGTGACTTTCTTGATTACCTGTTTCGTTGCGATTCCCTTGGAAGGCTAAACAAAATTGGTTTCTATCCAAAAATGTGCTTTTGCAACATTTTGATGTATACATACATAGGTTGTATGTGTTTTATGACCGACCCACTTATCCATATTATATATAATTTCATCGCTTTTCTTTGGCAAATGGCCAAACAAAAGAGTAGGCGGCCTATTTGAGCTGACATAAAAGGCAATAAGGGTAGAATGGAAAATAGCCTTCATACAAATGAATTTGTACAACAATACTAATACAAGTTTGTTAGGACAAATATTGAAAGAGGAATATTTTTAAAAAACAATTGTTTTTTAATTATTTGTAGATTGTTGAGTATTCTTTTTTATTTATATTATTTCATTTAAATATTAAAAATTAGACCGCGAAGTGTTCCTGTGTCATGGGTAAGATGTTCAACAAGTTTTAGCCATATAAAATATAAAAACGTTACTTTAGCAGTTTTTTATTATATCCTCGATAAACATAAAACAACAAATATTATTATATTTCTCATAAGAACCCAACTGTAGAATTTTTTATTATCTTAATGAAAAAGGCCTGCTTAACACCGATGAGCCTTTTTTCCTTTAAACTGAAGCATTATAACATATTCAGTTTTATTTATTACCAATTTTTGCACTTGTTTTTCCATTTTTATTTTCCATTTAAAATCCCAATGAATAAATTTTTGTTGGTTTGTTTATTTTTTACAATACATATATATAATATTTTATTATTATTACTACTACTATATATACAAATAAATATATTTATAGTCTGCCCGGAGGAATTATTTAACGATTTGTGTAAATCGTGCGCTGCAAGAAAGATCAAAACTCTAAAGGAGATAAATATTGCATTTCTACCATATGAATGCCAGGTGCGAAAATTTTACAAAATTACAAAATCCAAAAAAAAAGACATTTAAAACGCCACAAAAAAGTACTATCCACAGACCAACCAACTACTATACTAGCCCAAGAAATTAAGAAACACTCCAAACTCTTTTTCCACAACTATTACTACTACTAATAGACGTGTGTGTATTTTGTAAATGTTTGTGTCTTCTATTGTATTGTACTTATTACCACTACTACAACTCTTAACCATAACAACTATTACTACTACTCCTACTACAAATTTTTTAAACAGAAAAAATAGGGATATGAAAACAAAAAACAAATATTAACACCTGTTTGTTTTTTATTGTCCTGATTTCTTCTTGATGTTGTTTCAAATATATTTTTTAAATACTCTTCCTATTACTATTAAATGTTGTAATTTATATACATTTAATGTTATATTCGTATGTATGCATATATGTGTGTGTATGTATATGTTCTTCAATGCAGGGAAATTCAGCAAGATTATCTAAAAGAAAAAAATTACGAAAGATTTTCAAAGAATAGCTGATACATGAACTTTCTAACAAAGTTTTTCTTTGTGCTTCAACAAAAAGTGTTTAAGCTGCCCTTTCAGGATCTTTAAAAATCCTAATGCGTTTTATTTTAATAAAACTTAAGAAAATACAAATGTTTTTCGAGAAAACCAAAAAAAGTCAACGAATTAAAAAAAAACTACTCCAAACAATCTCCTAAAGTTTTGTTTTACTTGTTTTGTAGTGTTCAATTTAATGTGTATGGTTATATACAGATAAACAAATCGTCATCTGCCTATATAACTTTCAAAAAACTCAATATAAAAAATTCCCAAGTATTTTTTTATATTTACACGAATAGACAAATATATGCCAAATTACATAGACTCGTTTTTTAACAGAAAAAACGGCAACGAAAATAATCCCAATTCTTTATTCTACATTTCCCCCAAATCCCCCTTGTCCTTTTATCCTTTATCTTCCCCCTCCAAAAAATGCTTGAATTACAAATGAATGTATAAACTCTTTGCGAAAAATTGGCCTAACAAAATTCGAACAAGAGTCCATTTAATGTTTGACACAAAATTCAAAAAATAACCCAACCCCCCTGTTCCCCCACAATATGTTATGGTGTCTTATGCATTGATTTGTAATTGTTTATGTAATTTGACATATAACTCACGGGCATAAATGACAACAGCAATATTTACTAACAACTACTACTATTTAAGAATAATATATAACTTGTGTTTTTTAATTAAGAACTTATTGCTTGCTTTTAGAATTAGCTATAATCCCACCCCAATACAGCTTTGTATACTATATGCATAGAATATAGTTTTTATTTTAATATAACACATACTCTACTCTTATAAAAATGTCATATTTTTTTGATTTTCTTAATTTTTTGTGCAATTAATGATTTTTTGCAGCTTCCAAAAGTCGGAGATCTGCGAAGGTCATTTAAACCCCTAAAACTTATTTTAAAAATAATTTTCCGTAACATCCAGACACAAAAAAGAAAACAAATTTTGTCGTCCCTACAAAGATCGTTTCCATCAAGTCAGAATGAGTAGTTTTTAAAAGGATTTTGCGTCCTATAGGTCTTCTATAGACAGAAGATACCTATTATGATGATCCAACAAGATGAAAACAACTTAGGGGACCCCCATTTTCGGTTTCAACAAATCGTTTTTTTATTTCTATTTAATTTGAAACTATAACTTCTCAAGAATAATATGAAGCGGCGGTTACAGCTTAGCAATGGACGAGTGGATAGACACCGGACACAACATACCGCACAAAAACAGGCAACTACTGAGTCAACAATCAATACCTTTGATTCAGACCGCATACCTGAAACGAGAGTAGTGACATGGTGTGAAACTATAATACCAGATAGAGAACAATGGAATAGTGGAACACTAGTTCAGATGCCGACTGGTATCTGTTGCTATACAGCTGGCTCTCGACTCGGAGGAAAAACTGGACTGGGACTTTTTATCGAAGAACCGGGTACTGAAATTTCTCTTCGTCTTACAGATAACAGCACTATCCTACAGGCGGAGGTTCAAGCTATAACAGAATGTCTTAACTGGTTAAGTTTAAACCAATATACAATAAATATTACAGTGAAACGCTGGAACATTTCATGTGCCATTGCCCAGCCTTCGGAAAAATTATTGGGAAATTACACTTTTCACGGACGAACCGATCTGAGGGGGTGTAATGGAGAAGACTGAAGGAGTTCTCAAAAAACACGGAATTCCTAGATTCATAGGGGGATCAAAACCCAAAATGTTGTTAATCTAAACTTTGTCTAATTCTAAATTTCTCCGCATTTCTAGAGCGCACAACAGGCCTCAATTGGCTTATGTGTATGTCCTTCTCATGTTGGGCATGTGGTGGTATTATCCACCCCTCTTTTCGACCTAACCTAACCTACAAGTATTTAACAAAAAAAAAAATCGAAACTTGAAATCGAGAATGGGTGGAATCCCCTTTAAATGAGGCACTTTTTTAAATAATTATTTTGCTAATAATTTGGCTAACTTATAGAAGACTTTCCGAAGAACTTTTATGAACAGAAAGTCACGTCAAAAGGAAAGTCATGTCTACAGAATTTTGTGAATGCCTATTAAAGGTAGAATATTTCCTGAAAATGCATGATTTCTGGACCTTAGGAAAATCATGCAATAATCGTCTACTGGCCCCGCGGTTGTTTGACTCTAAAATCAGTTTTTTAAAAGTACATCATTTGTTATGGGTTTTTTTGTCGTATCTAATTTTAGTGATAATACGGAAAATTGGACAATCCGTATTGGCGTCTGCAATCAATTGTCCGGATTAGCGATATTTTAGTGTATTCTATTCAATTGGCTGCAATAATTCAATCCCATCCTATCATCTCAAAAAATAAATACAATTTTGCTTTCATGCATTTCTGTTGCCTTCATCTTCCATTTGCTTTTCTTCCCCAGCTTTTTCCATATATCATCGAGTATGTGTTGTATGCTTTTGGGATATGGAATGTCTTGAAATTTGTAAAACTAAATAATATATAAATCCATAACCTTTAAAAAAACCCTATGATAATGTATATTTAAACAAAGGAAATTAATTAATGTATTATTGTTTTTATTTTTATGTGCCACAAAAAATATATATCTTGTGTTTCTTTTTCTATACACCAACAACTAAATAACTAACTACTACCACCAACCAACCAACCACCACTACTATTACGCACGTTTTCTTTCTCCACTTTCCTCAACTCTCAACTACTATTTCTACTACAACTACTACTACCCAACTTCAACTCAACAACAACAAACTGCACCGCAATCAAAATTAAATAATTAAATATAAATTATTAAAAAAAAAACAATAATTAATTAACCCGAAATCAAAACCAATTTTGGCCCACTCCTAAAATGCACTTTTAATCACTCCTACTAATATTAACTACAACTACCACTAAAACTAACTAACTTGTGTGCTATGTGTGTGATGGCATTTTGTTTTTGATTGATTGCAAAATTTATTTAAAAAAAACTGAAAAATGAAAATGAACCAAAACAAATGTGCTTCTCTTAGGTCTACTCGCTCGATTCGCCAGACAGTTTTCAGTGTTTGTACTCACCGGCATTCGCCTCGATACGCGCCAAACACCTCGAGCGCATTGCCGAGCAAATAGCCACCCTGTGCGCTACGCTCGGCGAGTATCCGATGGTGCGATATCGCACTGATTGGGATCGCAACATCGACCTAGCTGCAGTCGTTCAGCAAAAACTGGATGCGTACAAGGCTGATGAGCCAACGATGGGCGAGGGTTCGGAGAAAGCACGTTCACAATTGTTAATTTTGGATCGTGGTTTTGATTGCGTATCGCCCTTGTTGCACGAATTGACTCTACAAGCCATGGCCTACGATCTATTGCCGATACAGAACGATGTCTATCGTTTTACGCCCGGACCCAATCAACCGGAAAAGGAAGTGTTGCTGGATGAGAACGATGATTTGTGGGTTGAATTGCGTCATCAACATATCGCCGTCGTTTCCACCCAGGTCACGCAGAATCTAAAGAAATTCACCGATTCCAAGCGAATGTCTTCTAGTAAGTTATAGCAAAAAACAATAACATCAGCAAATCCAACACATCTTGTGGTTGTGTTGTGTAGATATGTCTGGCTGGGATTTTGGGTTTTAGTGACATTTTCCCGTTCTTGAGAATATGAAATTAATCTTTTGATTTGTGTTTGATTTTCAGCTGATAAGGCTTCGATGCGTGATTTATCACAAATGATCAAGAAAATGCCACAGTATCAAAAGGAATTGTCCAAATATTCCACTCATTTGCACTTGGCCGAGGATTGCATGAAGTCCTATCAGGTGTGTATAACATGAATTCGGGGGCGGGCAGGGGAGGAAATTTTTTCATCAACTGTGCCTCATTTTATTTTTTTGTTTTGTTTCCCTTTTTCAGAACTATGTTGATAAGCTGTGCCGTGTCGAACAGGATTTGGCCATGGGCACTGATGCTGAGGGTGAAAAAATCAAAGATCATATGCGTAATATTGTACCCATTCTTTTGGATGCTGTAAGTCAAAATGTTGTTGAGTAATTTCAATAAATGTTTATTTTTTTTCTTGCCTTCTTTGCCCCCACCCAGAATGTCTCCAATTATGATAAGGTACGCATTATTGCTTTGTATGTCATGATCAAGAATGGCATTACTGAGGAAAATCTCACCAAATTATTTACGCATGCCCAATTGTCGCCCAAAGATCAAGATATGGTGCGCAATTTAAGTCATTTGGGTGTCAATGTTATTGCCGATGTAAGTATCATCACCATCCGGCTAGTAGGAGGGGGAGATTTGGAATTATGTTTAATTGTTGTTTGTTCTGCATATTTTAGTCACGCAAAAAAGTTTACACAGTTCCACGCAAGGAACGCATTACTGAACACACCTATCAAATGTCTCGTTGGACACCAGTTGTCAAGGATATCATGGAGGATTGCATTGAGGATAAATTGGATCAACGTCATTTTGCCTTCCTCACTGGCAGGGCCCAAAATCCCAATTATCATGCTCCAACAAGGTAGGTGAAATGATTTGGGAAATGCTACAAAATTTTTTTTAAGAGAAAGAATGGGGTTTCTAAGATTTTTGACTAAAGAAAAAAACTCTAAAAATTCTGAATCTTCTTAAAAAAATTGTGCTTATTTGTTGAGCTTTTAGAAAGGAATCATTAACTACATGATTTTTGTGTGAAATCCTCTGAAGTATTTTGAAATTTGCATTTGGTCAATTGGGAAAACATTCTTAAATAATGTTAGCTTAATTAGTCTGTTTTTTTCTATATCTTTCGTAGATTAGTCCTTTATCTGTGAAAGATATTTTGATATTAAGGTATATGGAATGACAGCTAACAATTTTCTTTTGGTAGAAAATCAATCAAATGCCTTTAAAAAATAAAGCCCTGCTAATCGTATTCAATATGTAAAAGGACATCTAATCCATTTCCATTGATTTGTAACATTCTCCCATAGCATTTAAAAAAATATATTCATCCTTTTTGAAATTACTTCAGCGATTTGTATCACCTTTCTCCAATTAATATTGCCTTTGTTTTGTCATTTCATTTCGAACCAAAAAAGTGTCCGCTACGGTCATTGGCATAAGGATAAAACACAGGCCCAGGTGAAAAATGTTCCACGTCTAATTGTCTTCATTGTTGGCGGTGTGTGCATGTCCGAAATGCGCAGTGCTTACGAAGTAACCAATGCCGTTAAAAATTGGGAAGTTGTTATTGGTTCTTCCCACATACTGACACCCGAGACTTTCTTAAGCGATTTGGGTTCTCTCACCAAGGAGGACTAAATTCGCCACTACAATGCAGTATAATACAACCTAAAAAATATATTATAAACTAAAAAAAAATATCAAATATTGTTTGTGTATGTAGACAACAGGTATATACGACATGCTTACAACAAAATAGTAAATTATTCAAATATTTAAGATTTCAACAACAACTACTACTACTAACAAATTGAAACATATTATTCAACTAACAAAACAATTCTATATGTTATAAAAAAAGTATATAAACAGTTGAAAAAAAGAGAAATATATATTCAACAAAATGTGTAGTGAACAAAAGCAGCAACAAACAAATAGAGAACGAGTTTTGAAGATTGTATTTCGTTCGTCAACGTGTAGGGCGTTGAACAGAAATATCAAAACCACACCACAGTTTTTTTCTCCTTGTTATTATAACACTACTTGCATTATTTTAATAATTAAGTAATAATACGTTCGTTTTTCTTCTTTACATATATATGTATGTAAAAACAATTTCACTTTGATATTTTTATCACTTAGAAGTTGGCAAGAAATTAAAGTTATGAAAACTAAAATGAAATACAATTTGCAACTTAAAATAAAAAAGACATCGTCAAATTCTTGTCTATGAAAAAGGTACTATTTATTGCATTATTAGCTTTATCTGAACATGTTTATATATTGTGTAATTTTTAGTATAGTTTAAATTAAAAAAAATATCCATAATTTATAAAAAAACTATAAAAAGCAAATATTGTTTTAAACAAATTGAACAAAAACAAATAATAATAAAACATTACACTTCTTATTAAAACAACAACAACAAAAACTCTATCTCTTCTCTTTAAAATTTTAGAAAAAAAAGAAATATATTAACAATGTTAACCAACCAATCACCGATAAATTAGTGAAAACAAATGAAATTCTTATAAAATAGTTAAGGAATGTATTTAAAAAATTAAAACAAAAAACATTTTTTTAGGTTTTTTCTCAAGTTTTTTATAACATAACAACACATGTTACTTACTTTTAATATTTTAATGAATTCTAATGGAAAAAAAGTGTATAAAACTATGTCCCAAATTCGAAAAAAAAACTAAAAAACGAACGATTCCAAGAGCCTAGTTTTTTGTTGGCTTAAAATTTCAAGTAAAAATGTGCAAGACAAACAAAATTTAGCAGCATATCTTCGAACATCAACAACAATAGCATTGATTTTCTCTAAAAATCCTCATATTAACAGCATAATTTTTTACAATTTCAAAATAATTTGCAAAAAATTGTAAAAATCAAAAGTCTAGAGAACATAAATAAATATATTCCAAATCTTACAAATTTCATTTTATATTAGACAATTCGAACAGCTACAATTCTGTAGTTATATTTGAAGGAATGGAGAGTGACTTCCTTTTTTCAAAACATTTGTGAATTGCTGCCAATAAAAATTCTTTAATGTAAATCGGTATAAAATGATTTTAAATATAAATTTTTTATTCAAATGTGTACCAAGATTTTTACAATCTATTTGCAAATTATGTTTAGCAAATCTTAAAACATTTCTAAAAATAAATTATTTGGAAATGCTTTAAACCATTTCCATTCATTTTCTACTTTTTCCAAAAAAATAGTAAAATTCGTTGTTCATTAATTGTGATTTTGCCATACAAAATTTCTAATATTCGCAAACCAATATTCAATATTTTTTAAAATTTAATAAAGAACTTTTAAAGATATGTCAGATTTAAGTGAACAGAAATTTTATTTCAAATGATTATTTGCGGTTTCCTTGTAATTCACAAATAATTTTAAACAGTATTCCCAAATTTCCAATGCTTTTTCTTGTTAATATTAAAATTAACTTGATTTATAATAAAATATTAGTTAAAAAAGTAAACAATTTGCTCTAACCGCCAAGTACCACAACATCATAAAAATTAACGAAAGGGGGTTTATTAAATATTAAAACAATAAAATAACAATATATAATAAAAAAGTATAATATTGCAATATAACTCCCAAGGAAATGGGAGTTTAAAGAAAAATATAAAAAATTAATATAATTATTAAAAACAAACATATATGTCTATAATCTTATATTAAAAAAACAAGTATTTAAACAACTCATTTATAATCACACATATATAAATTAATATTATTTATCACATATAATATATCTTAGTTTTCTCAAACACATCATCTTTATGTTCAAGTGGAGTTTTTTGCATATTTAACAACCATTTTGCAAAAATCTCTCTATTAAATAAATGTGTTAACAATGCAAAAACAAGTAAAATTTAAAAACAAATAAATATTGCATGCAGTTTATTTAAAAATATATATATTATGAGAAAGTTTAACACACAATAACGTTTATCCGGTTTCATGTAATTGAAAGAAAGGTTATACGTTATAAATAACACTTAAAAATATATATTATATTATCACATATATAAACAAAAATATTTAAAACAACACATATTTAATATATTAAAATAAAAGGTATTAAGAGTATTAAATATTTATTAATAACAAGTTCTCCAACAAACAAAAAAAAAAAAATCAAATTCAATGATTTTTTGAGTGTAACCTTAATTCAAATCTATATTGCATTAATATATTTAATGAAATTTTCTTCTTCTAATATTATTTGTTTTTAAATAAATATTTAACAACTCTTAATACACATATATATCAACATATTTATATATTTAATCACATATATTATTTATCAACCAACTAATATATATATATATATATTTATTCGACAAAGGGGTATTATTATTACAATATAATTTGCACAATCCGATCTTGTTAAACAAAACTTTGATTTTGAAAAGAAATTTTCACCCATGTCTGTCTACCACACTCACATTTGGGCTAGAAGTGATTTCTGGAGACTTGATTTAATCGACTATAACATAATCCTAATATAAACAAATAATATGCGGTATAGGTTAATTAGGATTCGATCATACAACATTTATTTAACAATTTCAATTGTGCAGATATATTTTTTTTCAATTAAAATTGTCTTCTTTAGAAGAAACACCAACTAGTAATGACATTTCTATATAAACAGCTGTATCATCATGTAATGAGAGCACTCAGAGTGTGGCTTTTATGTTCTCTTTATGGAACTAGGGTTAAATGGTAACAAATAGCCACAAAAATTCTCCTTAATATAAAATTATTAGATAATGATTTAATTAACAGTTAAATGGGGCATAAACAAAATAGTTTTGCCTATTCTCCATATTTAATCTCATTAATTGTTCATCTCTGATAATTAGTTTTGCCAAAACGTTTGTTGTCCCAGCTCTCTTTGTATACATCATACTAAATGAGCTGCAATTGTCATTACTATTAAAGCCAACAGGCTATACATTAAATTAGCTTGGTAAATTGTCTTCTCTTAAAGCAAACTGGCCATCCATTAAATTGTCTTCTCTTTGGAACCAATGGAAACAAATTCATACATAGGGAAGAAAAATTATTTGATTATCAATAAAATTTAATGAAAATTGACTTTTCAATTGTAGTAAGGGTAGTAGTAATCATTGATTGCCATAAAATTTGCAAAAATGATGTGCAATATAAAAGATCGCAGTAAACTAAATAGTACTTCATGCTTTGAATAAAACGGGCAGCTTTTCCTTCATATGCTTGACAAATTTAACTGTAATATAAAGTTTGAAAATATTTAATGGAACTTATAAAGCTCCCAAAAATAAGGGCTAATTTTGAATAAAAAAATTGGAACCCTAGGCTAATATTGTAGTACCACAGTAAAAATAGAGAGTATTACATGTTTTCTTTACAAATATAGAAAGATTTCCTCTCCCCTAGGGACCTAGGGGATATAATAGTTTAGAAAGCCTTAGACTAGGCAGTAATAACAGCAAGAGGTAAATCGCTTTTAATATAGAAATGAACAAAATTTCCCCCTTATGCTTGACAAGAAAATATTCACTTAATTTTGAAAAGGGATTGTTTTCAGCCAGTTAACATCACTATGGCTTATATAAACATTCCTTTTCTAAATAAATATATATGCATTATATTAATCAGTATATAATAATCTTAAATATAAAACAAATACACAATTAGTTATAAGTGCTTTCAACTTTATAATACCTTTTTGAAAATTATATACATACAACCATGGGAAGTTTTTAATGGCAGAAAAGATTGTGTTTAGTAAGGTGACAAAAAACAAAACAAATCGAAAAATTGCAAAAATATTGTATAAAAATTAAATGGTTTTCGTAAGAGAATAAATAACTAAATACAATGCTCTCAACTCATCAGAATATGGATATACAAAAAAAAAAAACAATTATTTTCTAAAAAGTTTTATAACCAAAAAAGGAATAATTAGATATTACTGATACATTTTCCGTGAAATCATGATTGAAATATAAGGTAAATATTGCAACGATCAAAAATTGTCTAACCTATTAGAGTTGTGAAAAATATAATTGATCAATTTGACTTGCAACAATTTCAATTTGTTGCTGAGATAATTAATGGGTTCTTATTTCCATCAACTCTTTCAGCTGCAAATTACACAATTACAGCAAGTTAATAATGACTTAATGCAAATTTATTTTTCAAAACAACTCGATATTAATAATAATTACCTTTAAGCCTTTTCTGACAATTATAGGAATATTTTTTCCTTTCAGAGAATTTTGAAATTTTACCAATAAGTCCAAACAGAGAATATTGTAACTACAAATATGCAGTTAATCGATTTGATTTGTTTCATTTCATTTTACCAACAACATAAACCATGCCGAATAACAGAATTTAAATTAATTTTCGAAACTAATACATTTGATGTGTTGGTAGTAATGCTAGAAATTCCAATGAGAAGTTTTATTTTCACTCGATGACTTTTAATGTGATGTAAGCTGTAATAACAACAACAAAATTGAATTTAAGATCAATTCGATTATAAACCATGAAAAATGTGAAAGAAATAACATCAAGAACTTCTCTACACTTAATTTATTCAACAAATAATTATTGTAGTTTGAAAAAAAGCTATTGTCAAGTTTAATCTTTGGATATAATAATACAAGAGAGTAACGGTCATTTTCAACATCAGTGGCGCTCTCTCTATGACATGGTGTGTGTTAGAAGAGCAGTACACATTCAAAGAGTTAGTATTTCAAAAAGAATGTTATTCAGCATTAGATGAAGGACCCGAAGCTTTTTAGACATGATATGACCAATTCTTTAAACATCGTATTATTATTTTGGTCATTTTCATCTCGCTAATTTTAACACCTGAGCTCTTTTTTTGCAATGAAGGCCAGCAAGCCTTTGACTTGGCTCTCTTTAATTGCATTAGGATATGAGAGCAAGAGGAATAAAAGAGTTATTGGCCCTTTCATCTGAACTAACATCTGACCAAAAATATTAAAAAAAAGAGTTTCTTAACTGCTCTTTGTCTTAGCTCTCTTTAGACGTTAGAAAAGTTAAAGATAAAAGTATCCTTTGATTAAACTGCTTAGAAATTCCCTAGATGATAGATTTTACCAAAGTATTATTGGATGTGTTCCGGTACTTTGGTTTAGGTTAAGGAGCAACACAAAATATATATTTATCAAAACAACAATAACAACAATTTAAATGTTCTGCAAAACCCTTTTAATCCAATATATATCTCAAAAAATTAGTTTATCTTTGCATAACCACACTGAAGCAAAGTAATATTTACTAATATAATATTCAAACCCAAAAACAACAACAAGAATAAGCAAGACGAAATAAATGAAGAAATTAGCTTTTTAAGACAACCCATACAATAATGAACCAAATCTCAAGAATAATTACAAACAAAAACCTTTAAAAGGAGTTAAAAAAACAACAACAACAATTTGATCATTGAAATAATAACCAATTATGATGATGGCGGCCCTAGAAAAAATACACAATTTCCGAAATTTAAAATAAAATTATTATTATTAACAATTTATAGCATAAAGTATTAACTTATGAGACACCGTTAACACTACAAAGGTGGGGTCTTGCCAACCCCCTCTAGAAGGCAGCTAAGAAGAAGGAATTGTTAACATCTGGTCTGAATACACTCTCTTGGCTCCTTATATCCCTAAGCTACTCACACAAAACGGTCTCGGTTATACTTTATAATATTTTTCTCTCTCCAAAATAAATATGTTTTCTTTAATAAAACAAATAAAAACTATTTACTAACACAACCAATAATAACACTTTTATTATTATTATATTTAAAAAAAAACAACTTATTAACAAACATAAAAACTAAATCGTTTATTATTAACAAACAAATAACAAGAAACAACTATATTTATTATTATAATTATTATTAGTATATATGAGAAATATAAAAAAAGATTTGCAATTTTTTTGAGAAATGAAATAAAGTCAAAGAAATATATATTCTTAATGTCTATTTATAGTAATCCGAACAATTATTGCTTACTTAAAATAAAACAACAACGTAAAAATATATAAGAGTATTATTATTAATAATTAAAAAACAATAATAATTTAGTGTGTAAGTAAATGAATTGATGTTGCATAATAAATAAAACAACACATTTCACAAAAAACCAAAACAAAATATAATCAATTAATATTCATATAGTATTTAATAAGTATTAAACAAAAGCAAGAATAAGGAGAAGCTAGGTTAAAAAAAAAACGATGAAAAACAATTAACAAATTGATCAAAAGAAGAAGAACAACAACAAATAGTAGCAATATCAAAAACAATTAACATCAACAGCAGGGAGCCATCCATTATTAAATAACAACCAGAATATGGAAGGCACTCCTTTAAGAAGAAAAAAAATAATAGAAGGCAAAAAAATACGAATACTTTTTTCCAAGAATTTTTGATAATCTTAAACAAATTGCTATTATTATAAACTAAAAAAAAATTCAATATATTTTCGTTTCAAATTTTGAATTTTTGTTAACAAAGAAACAAAACAAACATATAAACAAAAATAAATATATTACAACAACAACATACATATTTATTAGGGCCGTCAAAACAAAACAAAAACACATTTAAGAAATTTTACAAAAATAGCTACCAATAATGGACAAAACAAATATCTAGAAGGCAGAGTCAATTTATTTCTATGATACCATGAATTGAGTAACAAAATGAGTAAACAAACACAAAACATTGGACATGACACACAAAGAAGGACTTACAAAAAAAAAAAAAAAAAACAAAAAATGAATAAACCCACAATTGGTAACCATAAATAAAACCCCCCTTTACGTTTTTTTACAAGAGCAAATTGTTGAAATAAAAAATAATATTAAACAATAAAACAAGTTAATTCGATTAATAACAATAAATCTTGGAAATCAATACAATTCAATAATTTCAAAAATAAAATGACATTTTTTGAAATTATTGAAAAATTTTAAATTTTCATTTTGTTATTTATTAAGGAGTTATCTATTGTTTTGCCATTAACATCTTGGGTGGAACATTTGCCGTAGCTAGCTCTGCAATAATATAAAAATGAAAATTTGTATTATAAAAATTAAAAAAATAATAATAATTCAATTAAAAATTCCAAAGGAAAAAATATATAATTATTTGCTTTAAAATTTCCAAAAAAACTTTAATGTATTCAATTTCTGTATAAACTATAACATGTGTTTCAAGAAAATGTTTACAAAAAATGTAAAATGACAAGATTTTACAAAACATTCACAGTAAATATTTTTTTTTCACAAAAAAGACAAAAAAATATTCACAGACTACAAGATAAAAATATTTTTACTGTAAAATTATTGTTTCCAAAAAAATCCATAACAAATTTAAAAAATATATAAAATATTTAAAAAATATTCAGGTACAATCGAAAAAAAATTGAAAATAATCAACGAATTTAGGTATCCATTTATTCGCTTTAGCTTTTTTGTATTTTCCTTCCTTCCTTCAATTTCCATTTCTTAATAACATTTTCAAAAATTTTTTACCTTTTGCAAATTTTTCAACAACATTTCCCTTTTGTAAGCAAAAATTCTTCTTCATACACTTTTTACATTGTAATGAAAAATTTTTTTCGAAATAATAAAAATCACAATTTCTAAAAACAACAAACCTAAAAAAATTATATTTGGTTTTATTTATTATTAAAGAAAAAAGAAAATTTATTTTTGTTTAAATACAAAAGGTAAGTAATGAATGGTCTACAAAAATTTATAAAAAATATTTTTTAGAAGACTTTATCTAGTTTTTTTTTTTTTTTTTTTTTGATAAAAAAAGTATAAATAAAGTGTTTCCATCTCTACCATATATTTATTTTTTACACTTTGAAGCTATACCTTTGAGGTAATTTTAAATTAACCATTTCGATTTATGCTGATGTGAAGGACCTTAAAAAATAATAAAAATAGGACTCATTCATTTATTTCAAAAATAAAACACATTTATTAATTTCAAAAATAAAACACATTTATTTTTTTGTTTTAATAATTAGTTTTATTTGTTACTTTCTCTCTCTTCTTTTTATTTTTTGTATTTTTTGTAAGAAACCTTTACTTATGTTTTATGTACAATAGTTTAATAGGAAATGAAAGTTTAGCAGGTATATTTTAAAATTATAATAAAAAATATATAAATTTGCAAAAAGAAAAACACAAGATTTGATCTTTATATACTGAGTTTTGTTTATGAGTTAAATTCTATATATAATAGCATTTTGTGTGTGTGTGTTTTTGTTTTGTTTTTAATTCTCTGCAAGGAATTTAAAATGTGTTTATTTCTATAAAAAAAACGTTCGTAAAAATATATTTTATTTTGAGTGTATGTGTGTTTTTTATAATATTAACGTTACTTTACATAAAGGCGGCCTTACAAATAATGTACTTTATTATTTATAATTATAAATAGATTTATTATTTAATATTATATTAATTTCTATGAATATATGTGGTTGTGTGTGTATGTTCGTTTGTTTTGCATTAAAGCGCCTTACAAGCGTATTCTGACTTGGAGGAAAAAAGTCGTTCACATTTTTTTTAATTATACTTATATAAAATTTGTATATATGCATGTAGTTGTATTTACTTTCCAGGAGGGGGCAACTCATTTTACAGATGATTGGGGGTATTTTTACATAACGACAACTTCTTAGAAGGGACGTCCATTCGTTGTATTACCATAATATGAGGGTCGTTCGGGTAGTTTGGGTGGTGCATTGGGCACAGGTCGGCTGTTTGAAAAATATGATAGAATTTTGTTGAATTAATAAATTTTTTGAAGAAATAATTATAATATATAAAAACAAATTTCAAAGAGTATTAAATAATAATACATTTTACAAAATGTTTGAAGAAAAAACCATCACCACTCACCTATTTTTTGTATTTTAAGAAGCGATTAGTGCATAACCATAACCATTAAAAAGAAAGAGTATGGAAGGAAGTAGGAAAAATTATATAGTTAAAGTTGTTACAAGAAAGGGAAGAGAAGGGAAAAGCAGTTACTTTCATAGGGAAGATATTATGCGAAATTGTATTTTTTACCACAAACCATTTGCAAATGTTAGCTTCTATGCAATGTGAGGTTCAAATCAACGTGCGTTTTTTTAACTACATTAAAAAAAAATTGTACCTGTATTCAAAATCTGTAAGCATTTAGTGAATTGATAATACAAAATATACAATATCTGTATGAACCTATAGAAAAGCCTATAATTCATACCCTCATAAATCGAAAACCCCAAATATATTCATTGCATAGAATATATATTTTATATAATTCATTTTTATATGACACATCCCTGCCAAAGACCTTCTTTAATACCTTCGTGATTGTTAAAAAATAGTATGCCATTCCTACTAATAATAACTTTGCAGTCGTTCATTTGTACTCCTTTATAGGCGTAGGCTGTCATTACATTTGCCATTATAAATAAAGAATATTCAATGTTTTTTTCTTCCCTAACCTGGCTCATAAAATAATATTTACTAATTATTTATATTTTATATAAATAGTTTAAAAATCATTATTTTATAATTTTTAATAATAATTCTACAGATTCTGTGTTTCCATCCCTTTCAAACATTACAGTTGTTTTCTCCTGATTTATAGTTTGATATTCTCACGCTCTCTATCGATTTTTCTATAACTGACATGAATTACGGGATGTTTTCGCCTTATGTTATGATTGTTGTGAGTGCGTGTGTTTCAAAAGAGATCTACATGTTTTTAAAATTGTTATTCTCCTGTCATGCATTTCCATATGTCCAGCCTCTCTCTCATTGTAGTTAGTAGTTAATCTGCTCTAGATACGAAGGAGATTATTTGTTTCGCTTTCCTAACTCATTTTATAACAACTTATTTATTATTTAAAAAAATCATGAAGAACACAGTAAAATAAATTTTATATTCTTTTATTTAACATTAGTAATTTATTTTTTATTATGTTATTAATTTTTATTAATTCATCATAATCATATAGTTTTTTTTTTTTTTGTTCATTTGTAATTTTTCTATATTTTTTGTGGGGATTTTGTTTCTTCTTGGTAATGCAATCATATGTATATTATTATTCATTACTTTTTTATATATATTGTATATTTATGTATATAGTATAATAGTGAGTTTCATTATCATCATCTTTTGTTTTTGATGGAAAGATATAGAACATGGCTGTGAAAATACGAGTTCAAAGAGACCGATCGACCATGTCATTGATGAAAGGAATAATATATAATTTATAATAATATGCTATTGCTTCGAGTTTATCATTGTTCAATAATGTCCCTTATTTCTTGTTTTTTATATACTATATAAAATCATATAATCATAATAATGTATAATATGTATAATTATATACTCAAATATATTTCGTTTCATTTTTTAATTTTTCTTCATTCACTATGAATAAACTCAAAAATGTTTTTGTTTGTTTTAACTAGGTTAGTAATTAACTTCTTGTTTTGGGTGTTTTGGGAGAGATAGAGAGAAAAAGGCATTGTTTTTTTTAGAGAATTTTCATGATGGTTATCTCAATAATTTCCATGGAATTTTATAGACTTTTTATTTGAGAGAAACAAAAGACACCTATTTATATATTATATTGTTTTCTCTATACAAGGAATGTTCGTTCTTCTTTTTTACTTCATTTTTATAAGCTGATAAAACTTTACATAATGCCTGCTGCTGCTGTAGTACTCTAACATTAGTAATATATTCAATAATGCACAATAATACATTTATTATAAATATAAACAATTACAATAACAGCAAATAACATATTTTGTTTTTGTTTTTTTTTCATATTCGTATATAAGAATTATTTCAAAAAAAAAAAAAAAAAAAGAAATAGGGGGAAAATAAATTTCAAATAATAAAAAAATAAATTCCGGCAATATATCTGGCACCTCTGGAAATTTCCAGAACTATATTGAGCCTATGCGAATGGCCAATCATCATGTGAAGAACTTTGAAGACGAAAAAAAAGTTTTAAATTAAAAAATATATATTTCTTCAAAAACAAAGATTAGCAACTTTTTTATTTCAATTTCTTTTTAAATTTCACTGTGTGTTGGAATGTTTCTGTTATAATACGAGTGTGGTATGTTAAAAATAACATTATAATATATATGTATGTAATATTTGGAATAATTTTGTAGTAATAATTATTTACTGAGATTAGAGTTTTGTTTAAAAACTACACAAAAACACATTAGCAACAATGAAATAATTTATTATTTATATGTATATCTTTTTGGTTTGCTCCAATATTCGAGTATAGTGAGTATTAATTGGATATATAATATTTATATTTATGTGAATTCATCATAATTATGTTTCGTTAGATATTTTAGTTTTTTTAACGAAAATTTCCCTAAATAATTTAATTTTTTCGTTTTCTTGTGAGATCTTCTTATTTTATAGAACATAAATAAATTTTAAATGTGTTTTGTTTTATTTTTTTGTGGGGGATTTGTTGGAGAAAAAAAAAACTGTGTCTAGAGAAATGTTTTCTATATTAAGAAGAAAGCAAGGAAAGCTATTTTATAAAAAATATAGCAAAAACGTTTTAAATTATTAAAGGTCTGGAACACATTAACGTTAAACAAAAATTCCAGGGATGGCCGGATCTATTGGAAGCAAGAATCTACAGAAAATGGCAACATATTTAAATATTTAAACCTTTTTTTCAAAATCAGTAGAAATAATCCCCAATTAGGGCTTCAATTAAAGAATTCAATAGCCCTTTTTAAAGCTGCAGCTATCCACTTAATAAATTACCTATTTAATGAATACCAACTCACCAATTGAGAATGTTACGGCCTAACATGAGATTTGACATCCATAGACAGAGTTGTCATTGAAACTGTAATGCCAATTTAGCGTTTTTCTATGTTAAAGCAATTAAATAATTTCACATGTCATTTATTATTCAATTAAATGACATCCATTTTTACTGCAAATTATTGTAGGTATTCAACTGCTTCCTAAACCTTTATAAATACATTTTCAAAGTAATATTTTAAAAAACGAAAATTAATTTTTGACATCAATGTCAACATTTGCCCTATAATGAAAACATTTCTCTTAATTTGTTTTGTGTAAGCCCAGGTATTACGAAATATATGTATAGTTGGCAAATGTGTTTTTATGTTTGAATTATACCTACCTAATATAATTATTAATAATACAAATTAATAAAGATGGGAATGAAAAATAATTATGGAAATGAAATGAAACAAAAAAAATTAACAAAATAATATGCTTTGTGGCGTTAAATTATTTATACAAAGACAGAGACAATAAATAGAGAGAAAGAGGTATTCAATCATCAACAAAGGACATGTTTTTAAGACAAGTTTTTTTTACAAATATTTGGTTTAAATTTTAGAAAATGGCTAGGAGGGGATGCACAATTTATATTGTATTGTTTTATATGACATTTGTAGTTAGTTACAAACACGAGCATTATCAGCGAGTTACACATATATAGAGATTTTGATGTGATAACTCATATCTCTGTTTTTAATTGCAAAGATGATGAGTAGTTTTTTATCTTCTTTTTTTTTTTGTTGCGTGTATGATTATTGCATATTCAATAGTTCAGAGAGTGAGAGAGAGATAGATTTAAATTAACAACAATTTGCATGTTTGTCCTTATTTTGTTTATCTAATATTCTAAAATAACATTGTAACCCAAACGAAAAAAAAAATAAAAACGTTGTTTACTTGAAACGTTGGGCGAAAACATTCGACAATTCATTCATGGCTGCTTGGCCCACGGCCTGATTTACTTGACCACGCATACTTTCGGGGATGTAACGATTAGCACCAGTCTGCTGGGTTATGGCACTGCCAACGGCTCCGGTAACACGTCTGTGTTTATATATTTATTTCATGGATGTATTATTTTGGTTACGAAAAGAGTTATTTGAAAAGAGACACAAGCAAATATATGGACATTGTTTAAATGTTAATACAGACATTTACAAAAATGATGAAGATGTGAAATTTCCATCATCATCATCATAATAATAATTTGTGCATTACAATGTAAGTTAAAAACAAGTTTTTAATTATAACATACAAAGAAAACATATCGTTTGGCTTGAAACCCCTTTTTTAGAAAAATCCCTTTGCCAGGAAAAAAATTTTGACGATTTTTTTAACGCACGCAAAACATAAAAATAATGTAAATCATTTTAAAAAAATAATAAGGCAGTAATGGGGATAATTGTATTTTAATATAATTACAAAATAATAAAAAAAAAATATTTTACTTTTTAATTAAAATTATAAAAAGAAGAACAACAATTTGTAATACCCATGTTATTTGTTCAAGAGACCTTTGATCAAAACACCTCTTTTTAAAAATTTGATAAGCATTAGTTTGTTTTTCTTTTGTTTTCAATATAACAACATATAATTATTTTATTTTTATTTCAACTTTTCATGTTTGTTTTTTTGCTAAGATATATTATAATTGTTTTAAATATTTGGTTTACAATAAACTTATATTTGTTTGTGGTTGATATTTAATTTATTTAATTAATGGAGACAAGAGGGGGAGGGGGGCAGGTTAATGTTAAATCACTTCACTTGGAACATGTTCAAAATACATATGTATTTTTATGTATTTATGGAGTAAAGGGATTAAGGGGGGCTTGCGAACTTGTTTAACATCCTCTGACCATTGGCTCAACATATTTCCTATTTAATGGGCAATAATTTCTTTTTATTTTCTTATTATAGTTGGTTATTTAGCGTTGTCTGTTGCATGTTAGTTTTATGTTTGTTTGCTTGTTTTTTGCTTTTAGTTAGCTGTTGAGATCAGTATTTAACGACGTCTGTTCGATTTATTTTTAATTGTGTATATACAACAAGGCAGCAACAGTAGGAGCAAGAGAGAGCGGGTGGCAAAAAGGGAAGAAACATTGTAGAAAAATACAGATACAAAATAGAAGACAACACGATATGAACGTGATATTAATATTGATTGATATTATCAGTAGTTGTATTCTTTTGCGAATTAGAAAATAAAAATTGTGAACAAAATACCAAAAGAAAAAAGATTAAAAAAAAACTTTATGTTGTTGTTTAAATAAAGAAAGGCCTCTTTGGGGGAAAACGAAAACTAAAATACTTGTTTTTAATTAAAACGAGTAAGTATCATTCTGATATAAGAGATTTTTCTAAAAGAAAATGTTTTTTTCATCGAAAGTTTTCTGGATTTGCTACGATATATTTTTGGAACATGAAACAATTGAAAATACCGAATGTTTCCCTTAAGAATTTCAGAATCCAATTCACATATACAAAGCTTTGTTCCGCATTTAAAGTTAAAAAATTATTTGTATTTTTAATTAAATCTAAAAGTTTCACCCAACTCTCTAAGAGGCATTCCTTTGTCAAACATCTTTTAAAAAAGATTGTGCTATTTACTTCCAATTATAATTGCAATTAAATTTTCTAATAAAAAAGAGGTCCCAACCGACGATAAAAATAAGTTAAGTTATTCTCTATTATATAAAATAAGTTAGTTAATAGATAAATTAAAAAAAAATAAAAACCTTAACCAAAAGTAAGAAATCAAACAGGAAACAGAAAAAAACATATAATAAAACATAAAAAAAGAAAACTGTACTTACGATGGTAATAGTGGTGGTGGAAGAGCACCGCCTGGGCGGCCACCAGGCAATGGTGGAGCACCGCCGCCAGGGCGATTTGGAATAGCTGGCGCAGGTCGGCCAGAAGCGGGTGGAGGTGGGGGTCCGCGGCCTCCAGCTGCAGGCTGAAATATTACAAGAAAAAAATTATATGAATGAAAAAAGGAAAAAAACTTAATAAATGAAATAAATTGCGGTAGTTTGTCTGAATCCTTTTTACACCAACAAGTAAGGACGACTTCATCCTAGGTTTTATATTATAACCCATAAAGAAATTATATGTGGGAGCAGATCCGGGTCGTCTGTGTAAAATAGTGTGTCAAATAGACAGACATATAGTCTCTGGTGTTTCATGTACATAAAATCCCATTAAACTACATGAGATCGCTAAATTGAAATCGGAACCGATCTCAAAGTCAACAGATATTATGATAGACTTAATTGGGTTTAGACAGAGCTGCAAGTAAAATATTTATTGCAGCTCTATCTAAACCCGAAGCGATTCTTCTCAATTTCAATAGGGTTCAATGTTGGACTAAATATTTCGGTCAAAGAATTTATAATAATGTATTTTTTAAGAGGAAAGTCGTAATAGCTACGACTTTATTTTTCCTTGTCAATTTGAAATCTTACCTGGGCTGATGGTGCAGGTTTACGTGGTCCACCAGGGCTGGGTGGTGACAAACGTGGATTATCCAAACCACTGGGTAACCAATCATTCTTGACAGGTGGTGGCAATGGAGCCGATACAGTGGCCATGGAAACATCACCTAGAATCACAATGAGTTAGTCGTTTTCATTTAAAGTTTACCGACACACAAGAATGCTTACATGGCTCTTTAAAATTATAAAGCTTTTAAATTTATTTATCATAAGCAAATGGCGGAACTTTGAACTGTATATATATATATATATATATATATATTTGAACTACATGAGGAACATGTGCCCCTCCCACTGCTTGCTTTTGATGTTTCATTTTAAAAGCCATATATTGTTTCCAATAGTTATACTATCATTAATTTGTGTTTGTATGTCTGTCATAGGAACTAAAAAACTTACCAATAATTCTCAAAGCATCCTTGCAAGCATGATACATGCGCAACATTTCTTCACGTTTGCTAGCAGCTTCAGCCGATTCCTCCATCATTTGGGCCTGGCGAGAAAATTTTGTCAAATTAAAATCGTTGTATTTGTGTTTTTGTTTACTCTATCAAAACTTACTTGATCGCCCGAGGCATATAGATGGGCCAAAAGTTCACCATTAATGAAATCCTTGGTGTTATTAATAATCAACATCATAATGGCCTTGGGTACCATGTCGCGTGTTGTCTTTGTGACAATTTTCATATAGGAATCCACTAAATTGCGTATAGTTTCAACTTGACGCTCCAGTTGAGGATCTGTGGAGGTCTCAACACTGGCCTGCTACGCGAATAATAAAAAAAGGTTGAACATAAGTATGTAGATCCAAAATTTGTAGGGTTTATGTAACAAAAAAACGTATACAATTCGTAATTGCATTAACCAAATTAATTTAAAAACAAACGAGTTATTTTTTTCTTGTTTATACAAAATAAGTTTCAATTCAAAATATATAAAAAAGGAAATTGTTGATTTCTTTGTTTTTGTTTTGCATAGTAGTTTCGGTTAGGTAGGTAGATAGATTTGGGAACAACACACAGAGAGAGGTATATATAGAAATTTGATTAGTAGTAATCGTTAATAGAGAACTTTGTTGTTAGATTACTTTTTGTTAGTTGGCCTAAGGGAATAAAGATTTATTTGGTAATAAAATTGGACATAAGCCTAAAAGTCAGTTTCGTAGAAGTTTGAAACCCAAAACGGGGATTTAATTGAAAGTGCAAGAATAGAAATTGAAATGAAATATTATTACGGATGTTTCCTACAGTAGTCAAAGTGACTTCTTAAGCAAGGTGCATTTGTGTTGTAAATTAATTTCTTTGGGATTTTTTCGAGTTTCTTTCTACATTAAACGTTGTTATATAAAGTGAGTTTGATTCTTCCGCATATAGTATATTAACTCATTGCATTTTATATTTAACTATTTACATATATATATATATATATATATATATATACACAAACTTGACTTTGAAGCTTACCAAATAAACAAAAGTTTTATTATTGCATTGAAACTGGCTTTTAACATTGATTATTTGTTTGTATTCACATCGTGGTATGTACAAAAGTTATTAATGCATTTCTTAGGATTAATTCGAAATACACCAAGAGATTAGCATTAAAATAAAACCATTAAAAATACTATAAAATGAGAGGCAAATAATATATAAAAAAGAACGCAGAGCTTGGATTTTTTTAACCAAAGAATTGTAACGAAAAATAAGGAGAACACAAAAATCAATTATCATTTGGATAAAAAAGCAAATGCTGATTTGATTGGTTCGTCATGTGTTAAAGCGTTTCAAGGAAGGAAATGTTAACAAAGTAAAAAGAAATACAACACAAACAAAAGTAAACCAAACGAAACGAAATCACAAACTTAGAATACAAAAGAAAATTCACATACTTTCTCCTGTTAGGCATTTTCATATCATTGTTTATGGTTTGGGTTTTGAGATTTTTTGTTTGGTCGTACGTATTTTAATTATCATTATTTTTTATCAAACGTGATGAAATAAAAAAGGAAACAAAAATATATTAAAAATTGTTTGGCTAAAACAAAGTTGATGATGGGAAACGGAAATGGTAGTAGTAACCAAAGATTGAAACCAAATATGAACTCAAAATGAGAAGAGATAACAACAACAGCTAAGACCAATTCATGTGTCCATTAAGAAAAAACCAATATGACTGAAACCATTATCAGTTGTTTTGTAAATTATTTTGTTTTGATTAATTAAAAATATTCTTTCACCAGTATTACAAAAATCTACTATTCATTATGTGATCTCTTGGATGAATATGCATATATTTTTGGTAGAGGAAAATGTAACAGAAAAACAAAAATAAATTGAACAAACCTCTCGTCCTTCCTGTTGTAGTGTAATTACACACACACGGGCATTTTTTTATTATTATTATTTTGTCCGAACATTGATGAAATAATAGAAGTAAGAAAATATATATAGGAATAAATATTGGTTAATCATTTTAGAAAATATTTAAATATTTTAAGGTTTGGGGATAGATAGAGACTACCACTAATGTTTATGTTTATTAACTATATTTGTTTGTGTCTGTGTGGAGCATTCATGTGGAAACATAATATTAGAAAATTATATGAAACTAATTTCTAATATCGTAAAACATTCATATGGGAATATGATAAAGGTTTTCTGGTATTGACAAAAGGGAAATGTGATACGAGTAACATTACTTATTGTGTTTGTGGTTTTTAGATTTCGGTTTAAAGCATTAACTGAATATTTATTCAGTCACCCAGCAGTTCATTTTGAAAATGTCACATAATGTGGAAAAATAGAGATCTAAAAACAACAAATGTAGCAATAAGATCAAGTAAATTTGTTAATCATGAAACGTGCTAGGTCTGGGAATTTAAATTTCCATGGAGAAATTGTTTCGGTAATAACAACATTAAGACGTAATTATTGTCCTTGTTATGGAATTCAAATTACTCCACAAAACAACTATTCATCTAACAATTTTTGAAAAATAAAAAAAAATTATGAGATCCAATCATTTTAATATTAAGTATTCAATGTAAAAAATAACTGTGTTGTGGAATATGGTTAATATTTCAAATACGACACTTCCTTCACAGTAAACCGTTGACTCTTAACAATAAAATAATATCTTAAATAAATTAAAATCAAACGGCAAAAACTACAATCATAACTTTGGGTATTGTGAGAGTGGATACTTCGTAATTCATTTATCGTAACTTTAAATGGTTGTAATCGTGGTAATATATAATTGGAAGCATGTCGTTTTGTTTCCTTGTGATAAATATTATGCTAAACTTTATAAACTATATGAAGACTATATCGGTATTTTATGAATAAAACAAACTAAAAAAAATCGAATCGACTAAAATAGGAAAACTGAAAATATTGAAATATATAAAAGCTATTACTGCTAAATGATGATTCTATGGATGGATGATTTATGGTTGTTAGAACAACAAATGTTGATAAAACGACATTGCAGATGATTGTTTTTCAGATTGTTTCACTAACATGAAGCTATTTTTTTACATATATAGATAAAACATTAATATATTTATGTATGTATGTTTGTACGGTAGCTATTTGGCAAGTGACAAAAAACAATACTGACCTCGTCACCATTTTCCTGAGTTTCTTGTTTTTCGGGATAAACACCAGCACGCAAGAATGATGCCTTCCATGATTCAACATCTTCAACTGTTTCACAGGACAATTCAAGTTGTTTGTAGTCCTAGAAAACAACAAAAACAAAAAAAAAACATTAGAATTGGTTTTTCTCTTGGCAAATAAGATCTCGGCGGCCTACCTTGTACACATTACGTCCATCTGGACTGAACAATGCAAATGTAACACGTCTTGACATTGACATGAAACCCTGTTCAATGTCACGCAATTTCAAACCATCCAATGGCAACATAAATTTCTTTTCCTTTTCATCTTCATCCTTATACCAGGAAATACTTTCCGACGTTAAAACAAACCAATATGGACGTGAACCACCTTAAATTAAAAAGGTAAAACATACAAACAATAAAATTATTTACTATTAATTCGGCTTATAATTTTCCACAGTAATTATATTTGAATGTTGATAAACAAATTGAATATGTGATGATGATGTCAAAGAATGTGTTAAGAATCGTAGAAGAAAAGTAATGTGTATGAAGCAGCATATATGTAAATAAAAATCTTATTAAGCAAATGAAAAGAGAAAATAAACATTGCTAGTTTCTTTTATTTATTTTAAAAATAAATAAATTTTATATTGTAACACAAAATAGTTGTAATATTCTTAAAAAATGAAAGGAAAAACTCATTTTATTATCAAATTGGAAATTCTTTCTTCTGTAAATATATTGGCAAATAAGTAAATAATATTTCAAACAGAAGAGATATATTGAAAACATATGTATTTTAATTTCATTCAATGACAATAGGAATAATTTTATTTTTTATTTAAATTAATGTGGGTAATTAATAATATTTAAGTTTTGCTTTGAAGCAAATTCTCTTAATTTGCCCAATGTTATCCAAATTCTCCTAGTTTAAAAATTGAAATATTTGCCACATTATTTTCAATATGACATTCATGATAAAATATGATGTTTGTTTTTTTTTTTTGGACTAGCATACATAGAGTAATATTGATTTAAAGAAAACAATGGTTACCTCCTCCCCAGATAGAAGTGTCACAAATATTAAGGAAAGAAAAATTAAAACTATATTTTCTTTTAAGATACATTATAAACAAAATGGTTATATGAGATATATGAGTTGAAAATAAAAAAAAAATAATGATAATAAATTCCTATTCAATTTAGCATGGCTAGGACACAAAGCAAAATTGCCTTGGAATTAATATAATTCACATTTATTTAATTTTTTATTTTATGTTTTTCAATATAAATCAATATTTGATGAAATTTTAATAAGCGATATAAAATATAACATTATTTTCTCCCTACATATTGCAAAATAAACATAATTTGTGTGGCAAAACAAAACAAAAAATATGAAAAAACACATACACAAATGTTTTGTTTTTTTTTCTGAACATGCTTGGAAAGAAATGAAACAAAAAACAAACATGAAAATAAAATCTCTAATGCAACACATACAAAAAATAATTAAAAAAACTCTAACAAATTTTGTTCAATAACTTGCAAAAAAGAAAGAGCGCATCTCAATACGAACCAATAGCGCGAGGTAAATAATACATCAAAGCTACAAAAAAATGAATAAAAAACGAAAAATTTTGTGAAACAGTACAAGACGAAATGATAAAGGGGAAAGGGGATTTCATACAACAGGTCTAGTGTAAAAAAACCTAAACAAATTCGTGCATTCCAAGTTAGAAAACTTATAACAAATTACTATATAATCACACAATAAAAATCATAAACAAATAGAAATTAAAAAAAAACAAATTCCTCAACACAATTAAATGTCTTAATGTTAACGACTGATATTTAGTTGGTATGAAAAAGAAAATGTTCGGATTTTGCATACAAACCTTTCATGATGCCCAAATTTTGTATAACCATGTGACCCTTTCGGATCACTTGATTGCCAAGTTGACGTGTACCAGTTTTGTTAGCATTTTCAGATTTGTTCTGAGCACTTTTGGGAAAGAACAAAAATAAGCATGTTTATAATCATAATTAATTTAAATATAAGGACTTTACACATTATAGAACATGATTGATAGGTAACCATAAGATATTTAATTTTTTCATTAAACTATATAAAAAATATATGAACGTATAAGTTACGAATACTTGCAGATAAAAATTCTTAAAGAGTAAAATATTTTATTAAAATCCTCGCAAGTTTTTGTAGATATAAATTGATAAAATATTGAAAGAAATATTTTTCATATGAGCGCTGACTATCAATCATATTAGCTACAATGTAAATCATCTTAACAAAACAACAACACCTACTTGGCAAAACCAATGAAATCTTCATGATTGGTATTCATATAGGCCAATTCAAAATCGATTAGTAACAAAATTTGTTCTTTGCACAACTGTTCACGTTCTCGTATGTGTGTGGTAATTATGCGTTCAGTTTCTTCACGTAAACGAGGATAACGTGACATCTATAAATGGATATAGGAAACACAAATCAATCGATAAATCAAACATATCAAATTAGATGAGAAAAGTGTGATACGTACCTTATCAGTGCATAAACGTACAACAGCAGACAATTCCTGTACGACTAGATCAACACATTTGATAACGGGTTCTTTCAATTGTGCAATTTGACGTTTAACAATGGCCTCAAAAGCCATATCGGGCGTAAACAGACCCACACGAATACCATGGATATTGCGAATGGCAAAAGAGATTTCACGCCGCAGTTCTTTTTCGTCACAGGACATTTTGACAATTTCAAAGCGTAAACTGTAATAGGGGGTGAAGGAGAAGCAAGCAAGAATGTTTAGCTCAATTTTTAATTGTGGTGCCGTTTTTATGTAAAATTACCGTTCATGGAATATGCGATTAATTTTAGCACCACCTGACAATTCATTGGTATTTACCAAAGCTGAGCCAGAACCTTCAATGGTTCTCTCGAAATCTGACTGCAATTGTTGGATCATTCTGAAAAGAGGAATTTAATTTTTTATTAATTTGAGCTTTTTTTATTAAATTAAATATTGGGCTTACTGTAACATGGCTTTTGTCTTAATACTTGTATCACCCGGCTGGAAATGTTTAAACTCTTGCACATCCTTTTCCAACGCCAACATTTGTTTCTGCAATTTATCCCTGAGGCCGGGCAATGTGTCACGAATGTGATTTGTCAGTTGTTGATTCAAAACACGTTGCAAATAGGGGGTACCCAAACGATCAGCAATGTGACGATATGATGGATGACTCAAGAAGAATTTACGTTCGGCAGCCAAGGCCGCATGGATATCCTTGCGACCCTCAATATCTTTTTGTGAACGATTGACCACACCAATATAGCCTCGACGCAAGGGTAATAATTTGTTTTCCAAAATGTCACGGGCATCGGTACCCTCGTCCATCAAATCTAGCTTTGTAATGACACCAATTGTACGTATACCCTGAGGATCAACCTCTTTGGCCAATTTCAAAGCATCCGAATTGGCTAAATCGGTATTGGCCGGAGTTACAGCCAATATCAAACATGTCTCCTTGCGTATAAACTGTAAAATCATATTACGGATTTGTTGTTCGATATCGACCGGTTGGTCACCAATGGCCACTTTGGTTAGACCGGGCAAATCGATTAAGGTCAAGTTGAGAACATGCGGCGAATAGACACGAAGATTGATGGGTATATTTGATATGCCCTTGTTACTGCCAGTAACACGATCTGTTTCATCTTCGATTTCTTTGCGTATCTCATCGAAGCTTGTAAACTTTTTACCTTTACAGTGTAAGAATTCGCCATATTCTGTGGTGGAGGGATGAATGGATATAAACAAAAACATGATATTAATTTGTTCACCACTAAATAGATTGGGGAAATAACTTACCCGTAATGCCATTGATTAGTTGTAAAATCAAGGGACGTCTTGTAACAATACCTGAACCTCGAGGCAAGAAATCTCTGTAAAAATAGAAAATGTTTGTCATTTGAATTAAAAAAATGTACGATCATTTATTTATAATATTAAACAATTCTCATTATTTTCATACCTGTTAACAATTTTGTATTCTTTGTTTGCAAATATGAAAATTTTTTCTACAGATTTTTTTTTTAACAAACAAATTACATTTCGTACGAACTATTGGTAGTTGTATTTGTATATTCAAATGGAAATAATCAATGTCACCACATGGAAATTATAAATCTCAATGTATGTCTGCAACATTTCAATAGCGGCAACTATAATGAAATTCTGAAATCGTTACTCCTTTGCCATATTTACTTAAGAAATTACAAAAATATTTTTTTTTACTTTTGGCTTTATTTTTGTTCTAATAAAAATATGCCAGAAATCCATTTGACTATGATTAATAATAACTTATCGATAAGATAAGCATTGTAGTTATTTCATAACAGTATTGGTAATCAAAACAAAACTGATAAATAAACTAATATCCATAGGTCTGTCAAAAGTGTACATAGCACGATTGTGACAATTTCCATTTTTTTTTTTTTTGCCTTTTCAAGTTGTTTTGTTGTTGTGTCGTTCGTTCATCATCAGCAGATGCTATGATTGGTTATTTATTTAATTAATACTACGTTCCTTTTTTGCAATTACATTGTGATTCAATATATTTTGAGAAAAAATAAAAATAAACAATAGCTGGAAACAATTATTTTATGTTTCTTTAGATCTGACACGCAATAATATAGATTAGTATATATACATATATACACCCTTAAAAATCTATATGTATATTTATATATTGCCCACATATATTAGTAATATAAAATTTCAATTATTTTACGCCACAACATTTTTTGCTCATGAGATATTTTTTTAATTGTAGAGACTAACCCAATGAATCATCTTACAATTGTGGTTTATCGACATGAGAATATTTGTGTATGCCCAGTAATCATAACGTCATGATTTACCATCATCGATTATCATAAAATAAATATTATCTCATATTTTGAAATATTAGTTAAGAGACTTCTTCTTCTGCTAATCTGGGCATTTTAACAATTATGGATAATGTTTGTTCTTTCGAAAAAAACGTGGATAGCTGTTAAAAAAATAGGGTATAAAAAATTTGAAATATTTAAATATCACACCAACCTTGTACATCTATTCTCATGGTATAATAATAGAAGGTAACAGCAAGTGTTGTTGTACAAAAAACGATACAACAACCACATGGAAATTTGTTGTTGTAAGTTCTACTAGTGTCAACTCATTTGACAGAAAAATGTAAATAAACAAACAAATTATCATCAAATTATTTTTATTTTGAAAATGAAATATTTTCGAATCCTCAAAATAAAAATTGAAAAATATGAATGAAAATCTATCAAATTTATATTTCTATCTATTCCACATCTTTCCTATAATTGAGCCATTGCCATATATAGCATTTCCACATTAAATGAAACCTTTTACAAATTAAATGAACCCTTTTCCAAATTAAATGAAACCTTTTCCAAATTAAATGAAACCTTTTCCAAATTAAATGAAACCTTTTCCACTTGAAATGAAACCTTTTACAAATAGAATGAAACCTTTTACAAATAGAATGAAACCTTTTCCAATTGAAATGAAACCTTTTACAAATAGAATGAAACTTTTTCCAAATTAAATGAAACCTTTATTCTTATCTAAGGAAATATAATATTTGCACTAATTTTAAACCAATATTTGAAAATTAAATCAAAGAATATTAACAAATATAGTTGTATGGCTATGTAATTAACATAAATATTCTTTAATTCGGTGTGATTTCATTTAATATCTTAACATAAAACTAAATAAATAGTAATACAAACTGGGGTATTTCTTGACATTTTAATAAATAAATATTTAAGAACAAGAATTGAATACCCGGTCCTAAATGCGAAATACATATTTGACTTAATAAATTGTTGATGATAAGGTAACTGCTTATCTTAATGAAGGGGTTCCCGACTTGCAGCTTGTGGGATTTTCAAAACCATGTCTATAACGTAGTTAGAACAATCTTGCCGAGTAAGCTTTTGAATACTTCGCTCGATTACATCAACAATGTTATGTTCCATTGAAACGTCACACAGCCCAGCTCTTGCACATAATTTTATTTTTGAAAATGCATTTTCGATTGGATTTAGCATTGGAGAATAAGGCGGTAAGAATTAAGGGTTGCATCTTTTGGATTCGATCAAATTTTTTATGTCATGTCGCTTGTGTATTTGAGCGTTATTTTCCAACTCTGGATTGATTTCCTCAAAGAAAATTTCTATAAATAATTTAAATCTATCTGCATTGACACTGGAATTAGAAACGATTGTGTGATGTACAACTCCCGCGTTGTTTATTGCTGCAATTATAGTGATATTACGACCTCTGACCGTAGGCAACACAATGTGTGCTCTTGTTCCTTGTCTTGAACGGGCTTGGGTTCTTCGTATGTGAAGATTAAATCCACACTCATCAATGAATATTAATTTTTCTCCTTGTTGGGGTATCCATTTTGTAAAGTCTTGAGCATATTTTTGTCTCAAGCCTAATGTTCTGGAGTCATTCATTCGTTCTATTTCAATAGAGGCCATCTTAAACGTAATTTTTAATTTCCGTAATCCATATTCTATGCAGCTTGTGGAAATATTTATTTCATTTTCTCTCAAAACTTTAGTTTTTATGGCTTTGAGGGTAATTCCAGGTTGACTTTCTATATAGAACTCGATCAGACTTAAAACTTGTGGTGTCAACAACTTAGTTCTATTTCCTCCACGCTTATTTTCCTTCAATGTTCCAAAATTTTGTTTGTATCTTCTTATAAATGTTTTTTTCGGAATTTATGTTTATGCAGGTTAAATTTGCAGCCTCGGAAATGGTTCTCCCCTCTTCATAGAATTTAAATAATAACAATTTCATGTCTTTTGTTATTTTGTTATACTGACCCAATTTGTTTCGGGGTCTTGTAGATGTAGCTTCGGTAGGTTCTGGAGCATTTCCACTTGTAATACTTGGCGAGGATATTGATTCTTCCTCAGGTTCCCAAGCTAAAATCAGGTTCGCATTTATTTTAAACGTTGCTATTTTTAAATACAGTGAACTCTCGATAATATGAACATCCAAAACAGTAAACTCTCGACAATGTGAAGTAATTACAAACAAAATTTTGGAACATTGAAGGAAAATAAGCGTGGAGGAAATAAAACTAAGTTGTTGACACCACAAGTTTTAAGTCTGATCGAGTTCTATATAGAAAGTCAACCTGGAATTACCCTCAAAGCCATAAAAACTAAACTTTTGAGAGAAAATGAAATAAATATTTCCACAAGCTGCATAGAATATGGATTACGGAAATTAAAAATTACGTTTAAGATGGCCTCTATTGAAATAGAACGAATGAATGACTCCAGAACATTAGGCTTGAGACAAAAATATGCTCAAGACTTTACAAAATGGATACCCCAACAAGGAGAAAAATTAATATTCATTGATGAGTGTGGATTTAATCTTCACATACGAAGAACCCAAGCCCGTTCAAGACAAGGAACAAGAGCACACATTGTGTTGCCTACGGTCAGAGGTCGTAATGTCACTATAATTGCAGCAATAAACAACGCGGGAGTTGTACATCACACAATCGTTTCTAATTCCAGTGTCAATGCAGATAGATTTAAATTATTTATAGAAATTTTCTTTGAGAAAATCAATCCAGAGTTGGAAAATAACGCTCAAATACACAAGCGACATGACATAAAAAATTTGATCGAATCCAAAAGATGCAACCTTAAATTCTTACCGCCTTATTCTCCAATGCTAAATCCAATCGAAAATGCATTTTCAAAAATAAAATTATGTGCAAGAGCTGAGCTGTGTGACGTTTCAATGGAACATAACATTGTTGATGTAATCGAGCGAAGTATTCAAAAGCTTACTCGGCAAGATTGTTCTAACTACGTTATAGACAGTTTTGAAAATCCCACAAGCTGCAAGTCGGGAACCCCTTCATTAAGATAAGCAGTTACCTTATCATCAACAATTTATTAAGTCAAATAAGTATTTCGCATTTAGGACCGGGTATTCAATTCTTGTTCTTAAATATTTATTTATTAAAAAGTCAAGAAATACCCCAGTTTGTATTACTATTTATTTAGTTTTATGTTAAGATATTAAATGAAATCACACCGAATTAAAGAATATTTATGTTAATTACATAGCCATACAACTATATTTGTGAATATTCTTTGATTTAATTTTCAAATATTGGTTTAAAATTAGTGCAAATATTATATTTCCTTAGATAAGAATAAAGGTTTCATTTAATTTGGAAAAAGTTTCATTCTATTTGTAAAAGGTTTCATTTCAATTGGAAAAGGTTTCATTCTATTTGTAAAAGGTTTCATTTCAAGTGGAAAAGGTTTCATTTAATTTGGAAAAGGTTTCATTTAATTTGGAAAAGGTTTCATTTAATTTGGAAAAGGGTTCATTTAATTTGGAAAAGGGTTCATTTAATTTGTAAAAGGTTTCATTTAATGTGGAAATGCTATATATGTGTAACACATATGAAAATGCTGGGAATAGCGAGTTATTCCTTGAAGAAAGATTTGCTTCCTCAAACTTTCCCAGCTGGCAGATTGAGTAAATTGAATACAGGAGCACATTTAATAAAGAACAATTTTAAATTGTATGCGTTCCCAATTTTCCTGTTGGGTGATTTTTAAAAACATAATTTGTCAAATTCATATTGAAAGTAGTATAACGTTGGAATCAAATCAGCTGGGATTTGCTGTTACCTTTTATAATTGTACCATGATCTATTCTAAAAATATAAAAGTTTTAACAAGGTCTCAATACAAAATTTCTACTGGTTCAAAATACAAACAAAAATAACAAATATTACCTTAATTAATAACCTATAAATGTTTAGAAAAGCCACACAAACCGTAGTCAACCCTCCTGAAGATTTTATAAATTTAACTAGATTTCCCATTCCTATTTCAGTTGCCTCGACGGGGCCGTAAGATAAGTATTTATTTGTCTTCTCTTTAGGGTTAAAGTATGGAATTTTTAAAATGTAAAATTTTCATCAATATTTTTGCGTTGCATTTTGTTTCTTTATTCAAAATCATTGTTATTTTATTGGTTGAAAATCATTAACCAATTAGGCCTATCTAATCAAAGAAAAATATAAAAAAACAATACATTCTAAAAGTGAAACCTGTTGTATATTTTTTTTTTCAAATTAATTATTTATTAAAAAAATGCTAAACTGGGTCATTAACACTACAGCAAACCTCACTCATATCACACCAAAAACAAATGTGGATAATGAAAACCTCCTCTAATGGTTTGACTTAAAGTAAAAAAAAATACATTTGTAATAGCTCACTTGCAATTACAACTGTTATGGTTTTGTTAACAATTGTTTTGGAGAGAATTCATTAAACAAAAATGAAATTTTCAGAGCTCATCCATCCATCCATCAGTTCAGTCAATGAATGATGGTGGTATTTGTTTGTATCCACATTTGTTATAAATTTGTTACTGTGTTTTTGTTTGGGGGGACGACATTTACGCAGGTGCCTAACTGCCTGCCTGATTTGTAAGTGTGATTTGCTTTTGGAAAATACTGTTGCTTCTTCTTCTACTTGGTTTTCCCCATATAAAATGCTATTTATGTAACAGCAAAATTTAATTCAGGCCTAACGTGTGGTAACATATAAATAAATACATTTTTTTATAAAAATAAACGTATTGAGGTTTGCAATATTTGAATCTCAGTTTGGAAAAAATGGAATTTATAGAATAAATTGTTATCTAGTATTTTTTATTAAAATTTAAGACCATAAAAATGTAAATTTCTCTCTTTAGGCTCCTCATTTGAAAATATGATTATATAATTGCAAATTCTTTAATACCCACAATTTCTCCATTATTTTTTTCCATTTCTCCTGCCCTGAAAGTCCTTCTACGTTGCCTTCTAAAGCAAGAAAACTATCTCCATTGTACAAAAAGAAAACGATTTTTGCCATGAAAAAGTTCAAGTAATTTCAAAGAAAACAAGTGTATTGAAAAAAAAATATATATAGGACATTGACATAGAAACTAGTGAAAAGAAAGACACTCTCTTAGGCAAAAGAAAAATGTTAAAAGTTCATGACATTTACATAGAAAAATTCTATCTGACAAACTATTTCAGATTGTAGATAGAGCAGCAGCCATCCATACAACTTGACAATGGAGAAGGAGAAGAAGAAAATAAGAGGAAGATGATATAGAATCGATGAAATTATAACAACAAAAGAAAAGAAAAACTGATACAGACTCCAAAAGGATTTTTATGCAAACATTTTTTTTGTTACAAAACGTGTTCACAATTGAACAACATGGGGAGAGATCTATTATTTGGGGGTAGTGGGGTGGTAAATATACTCAATACAAAATAAAAAAATATCTACATTTGTTTTCTATTTTGCTTTAATTTCAAAACAAGGGTAGTAAACTGTAAATAAACGTAGCATTAAATCGATTTTACTATTATAGAGACACACAGAAAATAAGACAGATGCGTAGACAAAGCAACAATATTTAAGCAGAGCTTAGTGTATATACGAGAGAATGAGAGAAACAAAAAGAGCAAATGCATACTTCTTTGTTTTTGACAACAAAAGAAGAACAACAATGGCCTGATATGAAAACCCCCGAAATGTAAATAATTTGGGGGGAAAGCAAACAATAATTTTTAAACCCCCTTTTTACAAAACTTATCACAGAACCAAAAAATAAATCCAAAAACAGAAATAAAACTACTACACTATTTGAGGAAACAGGAAACGACGAGTATATAACATACAAAATGAGAGCGAGATAAGCCATAACACACAAGAGAACAAGTGAGTGTGACACTTGTTCTTTGTGGTATGGGGGCTAAGTGTCACAGAGAAACAGTATTTTCTTCTCTGTGGAGCACACTGGGTGAGAGAAAGAGTAACAAATCATGAATGAACAAAATGTGAACCACTCTCATTTTGACATTGCCATTCTTTGCCATAAACGACGACACGACAATTAAACTATGCAAAAAATGTGAGACTTAAAAACAATTGAATTTATGATTATAAGTATTTATGTACATATATGGATATATAGATAGCAGCATAATAATCATGCCTTACATTTATATACTTTTTCATTAATTTCTTGCTGATAAAACTCTGCAAGCAGTAAAAGTAAGAAGCAGATTCAACGAAAAAAAAGTTGTACACACAAAGAGAAAGAAGGGAAAATGAGCAAAACTAATAAGATAACAGAGATGTATGGGTATTTCCATAAATGAATGTATGTTCCAATATAGCAAAGTGGTACATATTTGTTATATAATATACAGACCATATTCCGTACTCATAAAGTGCTGAAACTTTTCAAATTTATAAAGATAAAATCCAAATAAAAATCAATTAATAGAAGATTAGTGTATGTTCTGAAGCAGAGCAATAGTGAAAATAAAATTATTTAATTTAAATGATGTATAAAATAAACTTTGGCCACACAATAATTAAAATATAAAGAAGGAATCACCATTTGAAACAGCCACTGGCAAAAGCAACTTAGCTACAATGATTATAATTAAAGATTATTAGCTCAAAATTAAATAGTAAATAATTTTGAGGGAAATTTAAGCGAAAAATTGTAAGAAATTTCAAATTAAACTTCATGAAAATGTGAACAATTATATGTGAAAAATGCATATATATAGTTATTTTAATTGCACATCATATAGTATTTATTTCTATAGTATATGAAACATGTGTAATTCTGTGTCTACACTGGAATTTGTGGTTTGAAATTTTTAATAGGCAATCCAGAGATTTAAATTTATGAATTTTGTTTAAGTTTTCAATAAAAAATTTTGCCTAACATAATAATAGTATTTTCTATATATAGGAATCTATTCAAATTTGTATTTATTTTATTTAACCTTGTAACAGAACACCAATTATTTTATATATTTCATAAAACTAGATAAAATACCGACAAAATCATCTTTTCTCCAACGAATCTCCATTGGACTTTCTTAATCGATTATCGGTAGGTATTTTAAAAATATTTTGTAGTTATTAGCCAAAGGGCTTTTTCTTTAAGAATCTAAATTTTAAATTGAATACCTTCTATTACATTTTTTTGTATAGGAAATAAAATAAATATTTTTAGATTTTAATTTTTTTCGAAATCAATAATCATAATTCAATTTTTTTCTATGCAAACCCCCATATACATATGAGAAAAAATATTAACTATATGCTCCAAAGGACGAAACTTGTAAACCAACCACCCACCAACCACTTAACGAATTTGGAGAGCCTTACTAGGAATTTCGTACATTAGTGGTGTAGGCTGGAAGGCAGCAGAGAGACAATAAAACGAACCAACGAACATCAGACATAAAAGAAAATGTCACAAGTAGAACATTGAATGGACAACCGAACCCTGAACAGTGGGGAAATGCCATTGATTTTTCCAAACGTTGACAATCGTATTTGGCATTGGCTTACAAAATTGAACGATGTTTTAGTTTTTTCTTCTTTTTGCTGGTATTGCAAGGAGAAAAAGGGGGCGGAGTCACATAAGAACCCCTTATACATGACTACGAACAACAACGACGTCGTCGACGAAGACAACGACGACTATGACAGTTATGAGGGGCGACATTGATTATTACCCAAAAAAATAGAAAAATGTTATAATGAAAATATTTTTTTCCATTTCAAAATCATACTTACTTGCCCACGAAATTTTCCAATACTGAACTTTTACCGGCCGATTGACCACCTACCACAGCAATCTGTGGCAGATCCAGCTGCATGTGAACGCCCAACTGGGTAAAGGCATCCTGCAGCTTATTAACAATGGGAATTAATGTATCCATGATGACGGTGGCGATTTGGTAATGCTAGGCGTTTTGAACTGGAACAAAATTTCTACGTCCTTGCCAGCCAAGGAGTCTTTGGAAGCAAAGAAAAAACGGTTGAGGAAAATTTCCAACACCTAAAAGGTGTCAGAAATTTTAGGTTTTGTACTTTTGGTTTTTGGTCTTTTTTCTGTAGCTTTTTTTAGTTTAGTTTTTACACTTCCGAAGAGATTTTCAATTGACGGGCTAGAATTGTTAATAACAATTTATTAATATAAAAAAATTAATAATTTCTTTTTTATTTTACAATTCTCTCTTTTTTTCACTGAGGGTTCAAATCTTTGGTATCTATCGGTTACGAATCATTTACACGACTACGACCCAAGTTTCGATTTTTTCTTCATGAAAAGAGAGACAGTGGCTGACTGACTGTGAATGTTGGACACTTAATCGTTCTCTGTTTTCGAGGGTATTCTTCCTCTCTAGAATGGCGAGAATAAAGCGCAAATAGGCAATGACATTTACCCATTGTCAGAAAAATTGAATGACATGCAAGCAAACAACTAATAGCGAACGAAAAAAGTGGGTGAAAAAAAGGAAGAAACACAAAACATAAAAGGAAGCTATTAAAGGAATAACACTGCTGCGCACTTTAATTCAAGAATTTTATATATTTTTTTCAATGCCACCTCAAAATGCACTTAACAACATTTAACACTTTAATTTCTTTTGTGTAGCACTGGAAACCGTCATTTCCATTCAATTGATTAAAACTGTGATTCATCGGAGTCACAGCCAAATGAAAAAAGAGAGAAATATATCAACAATAAGTTTTTTGCTATTTTTTCTTTCGCGTATCATTGTTTCATTTGCAATTATACCGTATTTACTTTTTTCTACGACCTTTCGCCCCTTGGAATGTATTTGCAATTAAATTCACAATAAATTTTGCCACAAAACAATTTCGAGAGTTGCAATGAATTTTCTTTTCTATCTCTTTGCTTTTGACAATTCAACTGACAGCTGTGTAGCAAGAACTGCCACCAACTTCGCTCGAATTAGTACAAATGAGGGAGAAAGAAGAAATGCCCGATAAAGAAGCAATTCAAAGTGGAAAGATGAAAATTTGCGAATGATGTGTGATGGACACCGTTTAAAAAGCGAATTGTTGAGAAAGAGACATGGAAGGAATGCCGATAAGGGATGCCGCAAGTCGACAAACCCTAAATAAAAAGCGTCCCTCGTGCCACTTGTCAAAATACAATTAGTGGGTGTGTTCGTCTACTTGTTCACTAAAAATTACTCGGTATCTTCTTTTAAGCAATATTTATATTTTTCGTTCAAGGAAAATAATTTTTAAAAGTAATTTAGTATTTTATGTAATATTTATATGCCTCTGTTCATTTCACAATTATACAGGGAGCAAAATATCTCCAGGTAAATGAAGTAGCTTGTTAGATATAAAAGGTGCTGTTTTCACATGGACTTATTTTCGACATAAAACTAAAAACGCAAGAAATCAATGTTTTATGATTTCGTTTCAAAAACGATGTAGGGAAGACCAATAAATGTTTGATGAGTTCATAACAGAGTAATTTCTTCCAGATAAATGCTGTAATAAATGATTTTAAATTCAATTAGATTTGAATTTACTTTGACATATTAGTTAAAATAATACACGAACCTATAAAAACTATGTATTTTGATTTATACTAGGAAAATATTGCAATCGGTCGGTAAATATTGTTATTATTTTAAAGATTTATGACATCTAGTAACAAACACTTTTAGAAAATATATAGTAAACAAACACACCTACTGTTACATAAATAAAAAATCATTTCTGCCACAGCTATAAATTTGGCAGATAATCTAAGTAAAACAGCTCTTTTCATACTAATTCCCTCATAATGATACTTGATAAAATTGGTGTTAATTGTTTATTAAAATTCATAAATTAAAATTCATCTGTAAAAAAAATGATTTTAGAATATATATTTTTTGTATATTTTTCAAAACATTACACACACTGTCACACATTTTGTATATGACTTTGGCATAACAAGCCACAATATGAAAATATTTTAATTTTTAAGTAGCTATGGCCTACCTTGAATAATTGTACCATGGTTGTTATTAGTTCTCAGTAAATGTCATGTGATTAACAATAATATACGCCATACGCCGACACATAGTTGCTTTTTTGAATAACTGACTGAAGTCGGCTGCAGTTGTTGCAAATTACTGTTCAATGGCATGTGTCAAAAACCGGAACCAACATGCAAATGTCAACTAGCTGAGTGATTTCTTTTCGTTCTAAATTTTTTAAACGAAAGTTGTGTTTTTTCTTGTGCTGTACACGTTTCGTGTCAATAACAAAGGCTTAAAAGTATGTAAATAATGTGAAATAAATGGAAAAGACAAAACAAATGCAACTGAAATAAAATAAAATGAAATTCTTTGAGAATTTCATGCAAGATGTTTGTGATAAAATAAGATAATAAAAAATGTGGAGAATACTCAGATATTGCGCCTTAATAATATTTCAGTTTTGTAATTTTCATTTCCATGATTTTTGTATAATTTTGTTGTTTTGGAAATGATATTAATTTGTGTTTTTATTCTCTAAATTTTTTTCGAATAGAATGCGTTACGTGGCTGCATACATGTTGGCTGTTCTCGGCGGTTTGGAAAACCCCAAAAATGCTGATATCGAAAAGATCCTCAGCTCTGTTGGTATTGAAGCTGACAGTGAACGCTTGACCAAGGTTGTCAGCGAATTGAATGGCAAATCCGTAGAACAATTGATCGCCGCCGGTCGCGAGAAATTGTCCTCCATGCCTGTTGGTGGTGGTGTTGCCGCTGCTGCTGCTCCAGCTGCTGGTGCCGCTGAAGCAGGTGGCAAGAAGGAAGAGGCCAAGAAAGAAGAAAAGAAGGAGGAATCCGAATCTGAAGATGACGATATGGGCTTTGCTCTTTTCGATTAAATTCGTTGTACTAGTAGCCAACCACAACTTGAACCATATGACAACAAAAACAACATCAACTGCATCTATGGTCATTAGCGTGCAAAAACTTGTCGAGGTATGTATTCTACTATGGGAAAATATGTAAACAAATAGACAAATTGATGGCTTAATTTGGAGTCTGATAATAAGTGGGGTAGGGGGAGGCCGCATGAGTTGTATACAATTCTATATATAGGTAGTAACAATGATGAACAAAACTTCACACCATCTTTCGACTGTACTATCGTTGATGTTATATAAGTTTCACTGATATCTATTTTTTGTTTATATATTTTATTGGGAGAATTTGTAAAACGTAAAAATAAAATGTTTTTGATTTCATTTTCTAATTAATTTTTTCGTTTCTTTTTATTACAGCTTTTTTAACCAACAAACAAATGTTTCCTCGGTCGATGTCCCCCCACAGCCTTCATTAAACAGCCGGTTTAAAAACAAATCAACAAATTAGACTTTCTTTTTATAATACCAAAAAAATTATAAAAAGAATTTCCTCTATTTTATCCAAAACACTTGACTTTTAAACCAGTACAAAAGATTGAGGTTTTTATTTCTATGAAATAAAAAGAAAATGTAACAAGTTTTTACACGTTAAAGAAAAAAAAAACAAAGTTTTTATTTATTTTTTTCTTTCAAAAACAAATTTAAGGCTTCTCGCCCACTCACTATGCAAAAGTAATACTCGAAAGTAATGTAATAAAAAATATTTTGGATCACTATGATGATTTACTATCACAAATAGCATTCTATTGAATGTATGTGTGTGGTATAGTGAGTGTGGGGCACAATATCCAAACTCAGGGTTTTTCAGGGGGCTAGGTATTTTGCTTCTAGGTATCAACTACTGGAATTCTAATTGGAAAATACATAGATTTGGAATATGCTGCTATAGATGTCGCTGGAAAGGGAGCTGTATTTCTTTTCAAAAAAGGTAAGATAATCCTTTTAATTGAATTATTTTTTTGCGGTTTATTACTCAAATATTGTTTAAATAATTGAATTTATTTAATAAATGTTGAGTTTTAAACCTTGCTGTTGCTCTTGTGATGATCAATTTACCATTACCATCTTTCGACTGAAAATCTGTGATGTTATTTTTTTAACTGACAAAAAAAAAAATTACACCCAGTTTTCAGTTCCATTTGTTTATGGATTTATGTTAATTTCTTTTTTTTTATTATTGATTTTGCAGAAAGTTTCGGGATTTTTTTGGGGAATAAATACCTACATTTCCACGCTTCTAAATGGTATGTTGTTAAAACATTATTACTTATTTAACATTTTTTTCATGATGATCACATTATCCAATACCATCTTTCGACTGATCATTTTGATGTTCATTCTTAACTGATTACAAAAATACATCTTATTTAAAATATTTTTTGGTTCCAATTTTCTAAATTTTCTTCTCTTCTTTTACAGATTGATTGATATTTGCTTTTGGGATCTTTTGGCATCTGTGATATGTGCAAACTGTCAATTGAATCGTTGTGATTTGAAAAATCTGTCAACTATAATCAAGCAAATAATTCGATTTTACAAAACATCAAGAGCAATATGGGACGAAGCTGATAAGAATGATGGTTACGGCTTACACCAGGAAACAGGACTAAGTACAACGGATCATTTTTTTATTCTATAGATTTCATTCAATTTTTTTTTATTAAAGAAGTAAAATTAAAAAAAAAAAAACAACAACAACAATATTATGTTTTTATTTTGGGAGACTGTATTATCTGGGGAAATGTTTTCCTCTTTCTGGGGTGATTATTTGGATGTACTGGAAGCATTCGACGAGTACTGCCGATCACGTTAAGCGACATTGGAAAGACCTTCCACAAGTATAGACTCCTCAATGATTATAAGATTATTCCGTTCAACTGATCCCACTTTTGATAGAGCTTTGGGTTTGAAATCCGGCATTCCGATAGGCAGTGAAAGAAATATGCTATCTCCCTGTGAGGACTGTTCATGCGGTGGTGAATTCCTGTTTTCTTCTAGTATTGGCGATGATATGAAATTATAATCTTGCATTGGTTGTGGATTAACGTTTTGATTTTCAACACTCATTTTGATTAGTTAATTTTTCCTGGATGAAATTTAGCCATGCGAAAATGTAATACCGTAACATATGCCGTTATTATAGTAGGGAGCTAATACTCTGGCATTACTTTAGGTATAATCTTCACTATGAAATTTAAACGCAATTTTAATTAGGGGGACCCTTTCATAAATCGTATAGTCCTGATTTAGATTGGGCATTACTTTAGGTATAATCTTCACTATGAAATTTAAACGCAATTTTAATTAGGGGGACCCTTTCATAAATCGTATAGTCCTGATTTAGATTGGGCCAGTTTACTTTCGACAATTGTTATCATTCTCTTTAGAACTTGGTTTCGAAAATATTTATTTTTTATTGGTTGCAAATAGTTTTTTTTCACATTTAAATAAATATAAAATGTCAACAAATACGAAATAAACAAAACGAATTGCCAGAAAATTGCCGGTACGAGCAATTTGTTTCCATTTCTATTCACCTTGCCCCTCTCTCCGACAAACAAGGACTTGCCGCAAGTAAACTCGCCTAATCTAAATTGGGACATAGTTTGGGTCATGTTTAATGCCCTATGACAATAATATATAATAATATAATATGAGACTCTAAATTCCCATTGGAACCAATATATTTCTCATTACATACTTCCCCTGGTTAAGAAGAATGCTCGGTGTTAATTGTCCATAGAAAAATCCTAAAAGGCCGTCCAAACGTTTGTATTTAAAACGAGATTCTGACAAAGTCATGTTCAATATTAAAGAATTAATTTTATATATTATGACTTACCACCAAATCAGAGTAAATATTAAAATAAATAATCAACTTTGTTTAACACGATAAGTTCAAGAGTAGATTTATTTAAAATTCTTCGTTTTGTTTCAAATGTCATAATAAGAAACATATAACAAAAAGGAATTTAAATAAATAGAGACACAATAGATTTAACAAAAATTAGTGTATTAGGATTTTATAGAATAAAGTAAGTAGAATAGGATTCAAGAATTAAATACACAAAGCCATGTAAAAAATGAAAAAACAAATAGGGTACAAAATAGAACTTAATTATAAATAGACAAAATAAACAAAAACAATAAATTATTGAATGTATTCAATTTTGGTTGTATAATGCTAATATTTAATTTAGGCATTCAATTAAAAAATAGCAAGTCCATAACAAAATTCAATCAATAAAAATTGACTCATTTCTCAAATTCAAATGCTTTTACTTTCACATTGAATGCATCAAATAAATAGTTGATATTTAGTATTACACCATACTAAAAAATAAAGAATAACAATAATAACTATTACTACCATAATAATAACTATATATGTATGTATGTAGGTATATTTCATAAAATTTCAATTTCAAGCACCACCGCATATATTGCCAAAATATAAACGACACATTATTAGGAATATAAATTCTAAAAACCAGTATACAGTGATATCTATGCTAAGGTATTGGGTGCTCTTTTCGTTTTCGTTTAATAGGGAATCTGGTTTTGATAATACTGGATCATATCGTAGGTTCGTGTTCGGAAGTTCTGATAAGAATTGCGTATAACTGCCAACATATGGGCAGCTGCCTCTTTATTATTTTTGGTTGATACAAATCGTTGCTTCAGCAGATTAATTGTTTGACCTCTAAAGCAGGGTAAACCAGTGTCCAACATTAACGATACCAAAGAAACAATGGCGTCCTGATAAGGACGCACAGCCAAAAAGGCCTGTACACACAACTCACAGAACCATTTGAAAGCCGGCGCTTCCATTTTACCACCCATTATCATAACCATTTCATCGGTCAACTTCATATCGGGCTCGAAGCCAATATTGCCTCCAGGCGATGACTCAAACATAAAGCCAAAATCTATTTTTCAAAATAAAAACCAAATAGATCGGAGATCAGATTAAATGTTGAAACATCATCCACACACACAAAAAGACCTACCAATGTGTATAATATGACCATCTTTGTCAATCATAATATTGCCATTGTGACGATCCTTGATCTGCAGTAGATAACCAATCAGGGAATAGGCCGCCATGGATTTGACAAAGTTTGCTCGGGCAGCCTGGAATTCTTTGGAACTTTCATCGCCATACTGATGCAAGAAGTATTCGTAAAGGCCAGAATCGGTTTGGCGACCCAGTTGGTCACGAGATTTGGCATTTGGCACACATTCTATGACCCCGCACTGGATAGATGAAAATATATGGTTATCTCTATAACTCTCAAACTCTTCCCCACACAAACTTACCCCTGGTGCTGTGGCCACAACACGATATGGAAATAGGAAGAGATCCAAACCGACTTGCTGGAATATATTCTTGAAAATCGTAATAACCTGTAGGGCCAACATGTCCTGACGCACATCATCGCCCACCTTGAAAATGGCCGCCTGCCACGACTCAACACCAAGTGTCATTTTGGCATCCTCTTGAGAATTCTGAAAACAAACAACCATTATTTACTTGAAATGGAAGTGGACGTTTATGCAACATACTGGATTATTTGACACCTCCATGGCGCGTGTTTCCAATTCCGTTATACCACAACGATATACCCGGAATCTTGCCAAATACGGAGCCTTGGCTGCACTTTGCATTGGAGTACCACTATTATAATCAATGTCCAAGACCATTGCCTCCGGATTCGAAGGCAAATAACAGCCGGATTGAACTTTGATACGACTCAAGGCCGCCAGACAAGCATTTTTACGTTCCGGTCCCTTGGGATATGCCCGTATCTCTCCCGACACTGCTGTAATCTTACCAAAGAAATCGAATTCACGTTCGTAGAATCGCTTGGCTGATCCCGAAAATGAGGCAATAATATTCTGACTCAACGACTCCAGTGCCTCGTACAGATAGGGATCTTTGTGTTGTTGATCTTCGTCCATGTACATATTGGTTTGCATATTCCATATAAGCTGGTGGGCCACAATCTGTGATCGCTTGGATATGAATTTTATCAATTCGGTGACATAGCCCATGGTGTCGTGCCTTAGGGCCTGCACCAATTGTGGAATGTAGGGTAAAACTGATTCGGCCGGATAGGAGTTCAGTGTCTTGACTGCATATTGGGCGGTTAACGGATGTGATGGATACTGGCGGGAGAAGTAGGACAATGCCTGAATGGGATTAACCGGTGACCACACCAGAATATACATTAAATCGGGACTTTCATGCAGAAGATTCTTGGTGGTGGCCAAATATTTGAGGGCCTCCGGAATATCACACACAGCAATTGGATCCAAACACACCAATCGTGTAACTTCCTCTTCAATCGATTCGGCATTTTTGATACGCGAAGGTAGAAAAACGGCCAATGCTGGATTATATGACCAAGCCAAACGGGCAAAATCTCTCCAAACATTTACCTTGTATGGACGATTGCGCCATTCGGTTATTTGCTCTTCACCCGGTATGGCCAAATCGGGCAGACTGTTGGGGTTGTACCAGGTTATAAGGAATTCAATTTCAACCGCCATCAATTCCAATATCAGATTACGTTTCTTCATGTAGTCCTTGTCGTACGAGTCCTTTGGGTAGGGTAAACGCTTGGAGCGATTTGAACGCTTCGATAGGGTGGACGTCGAATGCGGTATAGAGTTATACCATCCACCAGTGCCAGCAATGGACGAAGATCTTCCTGCCTCACCAGTACTAATGAGAGAAGCGGTTTCGGGATTTTTCGTAACGCTTAACATTTGATTGGGCGTGGTGGCGGGAATGTCATAGTCGCCCACCTCCGATGTAACCAAATGTTTCTTCTCACTGCGCATTGTCTGCCAAAACTTCAACAGTATCAATATGTCTTCCAACAGCTGTTCCTTGCTTTGATTGGGACACGTGGGAGGACCACAGAAATAATCCAAAGCATTGCTGTAGATACGTTCTCTTAGGATATTCCTAGCCAGGGATTTGGGTACGGTGTTGCCTTGGAGCAAAGACAAACCACACTGCAACAGTTTGAAGCGGCAACCCACTGTGGACACTTGACGATTCTGTTTGCTGTTCTTGTTAATGGGAAGACAACGGTGCAACAACAAGCAGAACATTTCCACCTTATCGCGATTGCAATACTTGGCGGTATCAACCATTTCGGAAAGCAATTGCAGCCATATTAGATGAGGAGTGACTAGAATTGGTTTGGAGACCAGTTTGCAACCCTCGTAGGCAGCCAATGGACTGGTGATTTCCACTTCCTCAGAGAACAAGCCGATTTTCTTTTCGAAGGTTGTCTGCCAAGCGGAGACCATTTCCTGAATGAAGCACAGCTCCAAGTCTTGGCGGGCCGTCAACACCCATTGCCAACATTCGACGGCAGTCTCCATTGCAGATTCGGTGAATAATTCAACTTGCGAGGTGGCTGAAACAAAAAACGAAGATGTGTTTCAATTGTGAATTCATGGGACCACCTCCACCCACTTCCACTCCCACTTACCCACAGCATGCAGCAACTTCCGATTTATATCCGAGCATATTATTAAATAGGCTGTAGCTCGCCACAAAGCTCCGCGATGCCTAGCATCACTTTTCTCCCTACAAGCCTCCCAGACATCGTTGACCAAACGATCAGCCAATCCGGCCTTTTCTTCGTCACTTAAAACCGATAGCAATCCGGATATCTCACCGGCATATTTACTGCGCAAACACAAGACCGAAACAAAACGTGGTGTATCGGACTTTACACAGGCAGGACGTTTGCTGTTCGATGGCAATGCGTTCGGATGATAGCTATTCGTACTGACCACGGAATCAAAGGCCAAGGCCAAACCACTGTGATGGGACAAAACCTGTGTGGGAATTTGATTGGGATATTCTTGCAAATGGGATTTGGTGGAACGCGGTGCCCATTTCATGGCCTCGTTGACAATGCCCTGACACCGATCGGCAAAATCTTTAAGACGCCCTTCACGGGCTGGCAATGAATCCATCAATTGCAGGGTGTACGGTGTTGAAACTACTCTCAGTGTAGGGGTTTCCTCATTCGGGTCAAGGGTTAGGGAAAAGGCCAACAATTGTAGAATATCCAACATGCACCACAGCACCCGACGATTCCACAACAAATGTGGGAATTTATCCACCAATTGCGATAGGTACTGATCCGCCACAACTTGGATTTGCTTGTGGATGTGATTGAAATAGACCAGCAATAATGTCGCCTGGGATTCCAGTACCTTTTCACGTATCTCGTCACGAGTGAACAGAACATTGCGGAACTTCTCGAATACTTGATCAGCAATACTACAAAATACCAAATTTAATTACGTCCAGTTGGTTGCTATTAGACATTACGCACGCATACATACCACTTGACACACTGCCATATTCCCGACTTGTCCTTTTGCAAGGCCGGATCACAGAGATACGTCAAAATCGGCTCCAAACTAGGCTCCTCGGCATTCTCAACACGCAACGTTTCCAGCCAATAAACACTCAACAAAAATGTGCACTGGGCAAAGGAGAGCTTGTTTATGGCTGCCGTTACCTCTGCTGTAGGATGCTCCAACAACAATACTATATCACTTCGCAGTTCGTTCAGATTGCTCGTTTCGCTCTTAATGGCCGAAGTGTAGTTTAGCTCACGCATATCCGACTTGTGGGTCGTCTGTGATATCAACAGGGGAGACTTTGCGGCAATTTGTTGAACTCCCATATACCACTCGGGTGACCAGAGACGAGCATTTGTGAAACCCATGACCACACAATAGACCCAAAAATCTTTGAATAGTTTGTGTAAACGCAAACGAGGATTTTTTATGGGCGGCAGGCGTTTGAGTAGCACAGCGATTACCGGTATTAACATACCCAAATGGCCAGCACTCGAACGGGATTTTGCTGCCCCAGGCGTATTGTCATAGGAACGCTCTCCCTCAAGGCCGATTTGCACAAAGAGTTCAAGCAATTTGCCCAGCAATTCTAATTTCTCGTCGTCCCCTTGAATATTGGCGGCAATATTGCCCAGAGCATTGACCACAGCATCGGAAACGCTAAAGAACTGTTTGCGGTGTTCGGGATCCGAGGTGTAAGCCAGGGAGGCGGATTGCACGGCGACGCGTGAGAACATTTTCATGATTTCATCGAAAACATGCGGCTCACACTGCGAAATAATCATGCAGCCCAACTGATCGACAATTAGGGCATTCTGTTCGGAGGGTACTTTGCAGAAGCGCTGAATAAAGAACTGCAAAATATTCTGGGTAGTTTTGGAGGTGTCCTTCAAGGCGACAGCCACGTGGCCTAACATAACAATTATGTTTAGGCTAACCAATGTGGATTCCCTGAAACGAAGGATATGTTTTTAAAATCCAACCGGATGTACTTAAATTCACAACAACACTTACGATTCATGCTTTTCGGCTGTGAACAGACGATTGGATACATTTGCCACCAAAGCTGGTACACAGAATTGGTCCACCGGTTGGGCAGCCCTTAAGGCAATACTCAAATTTTCAATGGCTGCATCCCGTAATGCCTCGAACGCTGCTTGTCCTGTACGTAAGGGGGCATATTTTTGTCCTTCTCCAAATATATCTACTGTAGATCGGGACTCACTGTTTTGTACAACAATTTTGAACGGGGTCACATCTTTCTCTTTCTTCTGCAAGGCCAGCAGTTGTTGAGAATGGGCGTGTAGTTTAGCCAATATTTGGCTGGGGTCAACAAGGAAGTCCCTCAAATACGATATCGATGTATTGGCAATATTGGGAAACTTTTGAGCCAATTTGCCCAAACCTTCCAAGCAGACCATCAGCAGTGGCATGTGGTCCATAACGATCTTATGTGACAATACCGAATTGAGTTTCTGCGACAGACGACCACATAGCTTATCGGCCTCTGTAATATACAAATTGTTAAACGAGTTAGTAGACGATCTTAAAATTTGAATTTGCCACACCACAAAGTGACCAAAGGTTTCATGAAGAAGGTAGAGAACATAAAGCACAGCATTCCTGGATATTAAGTATCATTTTGTGTTTCGTTTCGTATTTTGCGATACATGTTATGATTCGAGTCCGTTTTGATGAGGATTTAGTTTGGAAGTCAATTAGTGGCAAAACAAACGACCATGCCCCTAAACAAATGCAAACTCAATGGATTTACACATGAAATGAAGAGGATGTTTACAGGGTTATGTTGGTGGTGTTTCTCCTTAGAAATGAACAGGAGGAGCCAAGAGGGGTTATGCATGAAAACATTTGTACAAAACGTAAAAAAACACTTTCTCAGACATCCGAAAATAGAAGATAAATAAATTTTGATAACAAAACAGATATTTAAAAATGAAAAGAAAGAAAATAAACTTGACTTTGGGTTTTAAACAAAACGGAAACTTAAACCTTTTTGCATTAAATAATGTAAAGCATACTGCAATGAAGGTACATTGTACTCCTCATCAACTGTAAATTGAAAGAAAAACAAATTAGGAAATCATAATTAAATCCGCTTAGAACATTGTGGTCTTCTTCTTATTTTTTGCTAATTGGGATCGAAACGCTTTTCTGGCGAAGGGGGGCTCATTGTCAACAGCCAACTTACCCGTTTCATCACGTATAGCCCACACAAGTAAATCCACACAGGCGGCATTGGCCATAACATTCACCTTGTACTTATTCACCACGGGTATACCATTCTCTTCCCTCTTCTCTCGCTCCTGGTCCTGTTGCTTGTTTTGCAACTCTGTCTGGCCATTTAAGAATAGGCGCTTTACGAACTCCTGGACATCCTTAGTGAATGGGGCTGGCAGATCGATTTGATGTTGCAATATCTCCCTTAGCAAGGTCACCAGTACTAAATTCAACGTCTCCGAAAAACTCTTATAACAATAGCCTTTGATTTGATGTAAAGCAAAGATATCGCTTGCTTGCTCGTCTAAATGTTCCAATGTTTCCTTTGTCAGTAGCTTCTTGGCCACGGCAAATATGGTCTGTAAATGTTGTATGGGAAATGGTGGCATTGTCAGAGTCTTCTGATGCTTGGTAGGCGTTTCGGTTACACGCATATTGGGAAATTGATTGAAGCTGGAACCATAGCGTGTAAAGAAGTGGGTACGTGGGTCGTAGGGCACGGAGAAATAGGTGTGTAACTGAGGCTTTTGTTTATTCATGTGTGTTGCCATGGACATGTGTCTCATTTTAATTTCATACGATTCCTGGCTCAAGCTTCCTGACATGGAGCGTGGTATTATGGGACGAAAATGGGCAAACTGTAGACGTTCATTCGAGCTGTGACTACCGCCATCTCTAGGATTGGGTTTAACAACAGGCATTTGTTCACGTGGATAAATGCGGCACAACAACGGTGGGTCGTGTGAAGCATAACGACCCATTGAGCGGGCCAAACCAAACAGCAATGGCACCGTGGCTTTGCATAATATAATTGGGGGCGGTGCCGAACTGCTCTCTTTGCTGGATTTGATAATATTGGCCAAAGCACTTAATGTCTCCACTTGATTCACAATAATCTCTTCCCGTAGATCTGGACATTTTGAGGCGATGTCGGACAGCAATGTATTGAGACAAAAGCTAAACTTTTCTGCTGATGGTATGCCTGTAAAAATAAAGAGTACGGTATTACTCACAGTAACGGTTGTGCAAAACCCCCCGTGGGTAATGACTCATATTTCACTTACGGTCTGTTTTGCTCCATTTTCCATCGTCAACCCAAACAGCCTTGGGCAAACATTTGGCCAATCTCAGAAGGTACGGCACAATCCGATCTTCGTGTTGGCAACCACTCTCCAGGAAATACAAACCCAAAGCAATGACGGCATCTTGGGCACGGGAATCCAAACAGAAAACACCTGCAGCATTTTCTTGGGGGCAATAACGAAACAATGACTGCACCTAAAATACCCCGTAAAAAAGGTCATGGTATTATGTTTCATTTCTAATCCAACAAAGAACTGAGAAAACTAAAACTAGTTACGATAACTATGAAGTCAAGGTCAAATTCCAGCACACACACGAAAAGTCAATATTTTGGTTGGGTAGCTGGCTAGCTGTCCGTCTGTCTGATTGGTTCGTTCGTTGGTGATGATGATGAAACCGTTTAACAAACCTTTGGCCATGGAGTTGGTTTAATTTGGGCCAATATTCGTGCTAAACTCTGCACGGTTTTTTGGTACGAGAACTTGTCTGCCATTGTAGCAGACATTTTGCTAATTTATTTGTATCCAAAACAGATTTTTTCCTTTTTTCCGTTCGCACTGGCAAAAGAAGATTTGACGTTGGGGATGGTAAGCTAACGATGATAACAAATATCATAATCGATAGTTATGAAGGCAAAAAATTACTGAAAACAAATCTAAACAATCGATAAATAAAAACCATTTATCGGGGAGTTTATCAATGATCTGTTCCCGTACTACAATAATCTACTATTTTTTTAATATTTTTGTTATTGTTGTAAAAATGTTTTATTAAAAAAGTATGAATGTGTGAACTACACTCATATATAATTCCTGTAATCGTTGCATGAATTGCTGCTAGCGTATAAATGCTGTCTTTGATGAATGTTGTGTTCATCGTGTGAATCCTCCCTATATTTACTGACTCTCTCCCCATGTCTCTTTCTCAACAATAACAATAGAGTATAGCCAGTGTTCCATTACACCTCATTCGTAAATGTTAGTCGTTAGTTCCTTCTTTATCGGGCATTTTTCTTCCTCCAGTCATTCAGATACAGAGTGTGTTGTTTGTGTGCAGTGTGCCGACGAAGTTCTCGCTTGAATTTAAAAAAATAAACCAACAATTACTGGAAATTTTGAATAAAATTATTAATAATATGGAATTATAAACAATGTAGTGATAAAAGAAGAGATGATGTGACAATTGTTAAGATAATTTACGCAAAGCTATGTCGGAAAATTCAAACAAAAAGTCAATTTGAAGTTTGTGTCTGTATCCCATAAATCTGATAAATATTCAAGCCGAAACATAAAAACTGTATCTATTCGATTAGAAATGCAGCGGTTTTACATCTAAAAAACACAAAATGTGCAAACATATTTGTTTAAAAAATAGAAATGAAATGAAATTGGTTTAAAAAATTAGATGCCGCCCAAATAAGAAAAAATAGACGCCAACCCAAAGAGACGACAACAAACAATCAAACCACCCCCATTCACACGCTAAACCAACTCCATCCCCCCTTTGAACCATTCCATCGTTCATCGTTTAACTAGCAAGTATGTATTTTGTATATATGTATGTTTGTTTCTCTAAGCTTGTATCTTTGTGCTGCTGTCTTGTCTGTCGGCCTGTTTGTCAGTCTGATTGTCTGTGCTTCTGTTTCGCGCTACTGCGCTGCTTTCTTTGGTTTTAATGCAAGTGGTTCTTCCTTTATGTATGTTTTCTTATAGTTGTTGTCGGCATTTTTTGTTTATATTTTTGGTTTGCTCTTTATTAATATTATTATTTTATTATTAATATTATTAATTGTATGCTAAATCAAAGTAAGAATATTCATCAATCGATGTGGTTTATATAGCCATGGGGTATTTAAAATAAATTGAAATCTTATCAGTTTGGTGAGGATGTTATCTTTTACAAAAAAAAAAAAATAATAATAAAATAAAAAAATAAATATAATACTAGCAAGGGCCTATAAACAAAAAACGAGATAAAATTATTTTATTTATAAACAAAAATATATATATTTATATACCTACTATAAATGCAGTGGTCAGATTTGTAAAGAAAGCGGGAATATATACCTATCAAAGGAAAGGAAAATATTTGAAGAATATGAGGACAGGAAATGACCATGTTATGACTAAAATAGTCGTGTGAACTACGATTGCTGTAATCCAAAATATCCTTGTAGGTAAATTAAAAAATAAGTAATTCAGTAGTTACCATGATCCAATTAACAGGTCGTGTAAGAAGCGAATATTATCGGTCATTTTGGTAAAATTTTTTGTTCACGTTTTCACACGATTAAGTCAAATTTTGACAGTTCAGGTGAAATCAAGTCGCCTCACGACCTGTTAATTGAACCATGGTAGTTACAATTGAAATAATTTAAACGTTTGTACAGTTCAACTTTATTTGCTAGTCCCCTTTTTGCCATATGTAGACTTAATGGATGATAAAGATTAGGAATATAGTCAAAATCAAGACACATTAAGGTTTATAACGTTTCACATTTTTTGTTATTGTTTTGTTGTTGTAAAGAAAAGTCCTTATTTTGATGGCGGGCATAATAACTCCTCACTGGAACATCGGAATCCAACGGTGTTAGAAAGAGTACATGTCTAGCACTCGTATGAACTCGCCTATTTTTGACCACAAATGAATTTAAAAAATAAGGAGAATCTTCTTCTGAAGACTATAATTCCAAAAATCTATTCGTTAGTATATAATATAGATTTGTTTGATTTTTTGCCTTTGTCCTGCTTAGATTAACCCCAGCATATAATATGTAGGAATTTTTAGTTGTGTAGGGATACCGTTCTCAATATAATAAAAAAAGAGTTTATGAGAAAAGGATATGACTCCAAGAAATCAAAATAAAAAAATTTTGTATTATAAATAATATGTCCATAGTTTTGGTGTTATCCTTAATGAATCCATTTGAATTAACTGTTTTGACCAGGATATTGATCATATCGAATCCCAAAATTTTGCACGTTTATAAATTCAATAATTTTCTAATCCAAAGAGATCAAAATATTGTCCTGCAATCTTTGAAGTGAATTTTCCAACATAGCTTAGAAATATAGTTTTTGAAATGTATTTATGTATCATTGTATCTTGTGCTCTATAATCACAAACAATTTCATATTTGAATTTTACGAAATATAATTTCCTTCCACAATATATTTCAAAATTCTTCCTTGTGCTCAAAAGATTTGAAAGCTCACATGAAATTTACAAAAGTCAAGGAGAAGCATCAAAAAGAGATGCTTTTACATAAAAACCAAAGAAAATTACATGAAACAAACAAGCGAACACACTCACATCATACGATTGGAACCTTTGCCAACAGCGGAAAAGGAAACACTGCACAGGATCTAATTTAGTTCGTTCTTTTTTGCTTGTTTTGTTGTATTTTATATTCCTTTAATTTCTTATTCATGTTGTAAGGAAGCAGGCGACAACAAGCTCGTATTGCTCTGTGCTGTGCTGCTGCCTGCATACTCTGGGCACTTTTGTAATGTTATTTGCAGAAAATCAATAATCAAAATAGTATTAGGGAAAGAGAGAGCGAGGGAGTAATGCTACAGATACGAATACGATGCCAGGCTGCTTTGCGAGCCAATGTAAATAGACACAAACTGGAAAACTAGTAAATCCAATTAGGGAAGAAAAAAAGTGACGACGACACACAAATTGAGCTGCAAAAACGAAAAACACTCACAGCAAAAAAAAAAAAAAAAAAGTAGCAGCTACAAAATTTAAACTTTTGAACCTTTCTCCCAACAATAACAACAACAGCATAAACTCTCAACCCAAACATTATTTGCCACTGAAAAACTGAAAACCAACTAGGAAAAATAAAAGGAAAAATTGTTGGCCCCACCACACGAGAAAAGCACACATTTCGCATGAATGGAAAACCAACAATCTAGTGGCAGACAGACCAAGGCAACTCACAAAAACAACAAGAAATAACTTGCAGCAATCTTATGGTGGTATTTTTTTCCAGTCTTTTGTTGGCTTTTCAGTTGCTTCTCCCAACCACCAACCAACCAACAACCATCGTTTGTCGTTGGTGGCAGAGCGGGCACGACGACTACGACGATAACAACCGGGCCATCAGCCGTATGTTGAATTAAACAGCAGTGTCAGTGCGCGTTTAGCATTCGACAACGAAAGAAGTGAGAGAAGTTATATTTTGGGGGTTCCATATAAAGCACTCACTCAGGGCGTGTGTGTGATTGTTTGTTTGCTGTGTGACATACAATTGAATGTTGAATGCAAATCCGAAAGGAAAAGAAAAATAAGGAATGAAATAAAATTATTCCAGAAAAATAATAAAATCAATCAATCTATAATTTAAAAAAAAAAGTACACACATACATACATACTGAAATATTAAAAAGTGTTATCAGAAAAAAAACAATAAAAAACGTTATTTGCTTGAAAACAAACGTAAACAAGCATCATAATAATTCTGCCAAATCATGGCAGCCGTACCCTTAACACTGGACATATTACAAACGCCACCCAGCCGGTCTCCTTTAATGTCACCACAAATCGTGACAATGTCTGAAACATCTACAACAAATGAACGGCCATCTGTGTTGGCATTGGCAAATGGGTCATCATCATCACCGCAGCATTCCAAAGTGTCGCCGACCTGCAACACACCAAACCATGGTGGCAACATTTCACCTGCCATTGGCAGTTTGACGCCCTCATTTCTACCCGAGATGCCGCAATGGAAACGTGACCTTATCCAAAGACGCAAACAAAATGTACAACGTACCATAAGTGCATCATCGCCACAATCTCCAGCAGCAGCATCAATGGTCGCTGGGGCTGCTGGTGGCTTAAGAAACTCGACATCTTCATCATCGGTGCGTTCATTTGCCGGCAGCAACAGCAATATTGACCAACTTGCATCAGGTAAGTGAGTGGCAGCCAGCCTCTCTCCCCCCCAACTACCACCACAACCTGCACAAAACCAAATGCATGCCACAATAACACCAACCGAACCTAATGGCCCTGCTCTAAACATGGCAACTTAAAACCTATGATGATGATGATAGACATCCATCAGCTGTATCATATGTGTGCGTTCATTTTTTAATACCACCACCACAAAAACAACTATGGACTTTATTATAGCACTTACTAACAGTTCGTTCGTCCGTTCATTCATTCATTGGACACACATTTCGCTAAGTTCAATTCATTTTTTCCTTCTGTTTGTTAAATAATCTCCAATGTGAGCTAATGCTAAGGAGGAGGGGCTGTAGCAAAAAACATTTACGGGCTTTCTTGATGTTGTTGTTTTTCTCTCTTTCTATATTTTGGAATGTTGAATGTTTTTTTGTTATGTGCAAGAAATTCGAAATAAATTTTGAACTTTGTTGCCACAAACAAAATGCAATCAAATAGCCATTTAGTTACACAGTGGGTTTGGGATGTAGAGAGAGGGATGGAAATCATGTCCATAGAGGGAGGGAAATCAGGTCCATATTGGATCGATGGACACGATTTGTGCTTTGAAATTAATTCTTATATATTTCATAAACACTATTAAATTTAAAACTGTCAATGTTATGAGATGTCAAAGTTATGAGATATACTAAATAATGTGGTTAAAATTATCGGGATTCGACTTTATACTATTTAGAAAGGGAAAAAGATTGATGAGTCGGGGCTTTACTCATCAATCTTCCTTAGCCAATTAAACTGTTTCAAATCTTTTTATTTTGTTTCTTTATTTTGAGAAGAAAACAATTTCATTGCAATAAATTTTTAAATACCCTCGAAGTCAAAATATCTCTTTAAGATAACATTTTACGTTCAAGTGATAACAGAAAAAAACTGTCAATATTTCCAAAACCCAAAAATATTCGTATTCAACCATAAATTTTTCAATTATAAGTCACGATGTTGGTGTTTTTTTTCATTTATCTTGATGTATAGTTTTGAAACTCTTGCTGATACCATTGCAGAATCTGAAAGCAAACTAATTTAGAGTAATTTATTCTTTGCTTCTTCTTTTTTTTGGTTTTGCTGTGTGTGTGAAACAGGAAATCAGTTTTGATGGATTTTCCCGCCCCCTCAAAAGAAGAACACGATCTGTGCAATTAAAAATGATACAGAAATGTTGACGAGGCGGTATTCTTTTTTATTTTTGATATACATATTTCAAATCGATTTTAAAATGTACGTGCTATTTTGGACAATCTGTGGAAACTATGAGGGTGTTTGTTGTGTATTTGGTAATGAGATATATTTTCTTCATGTGTTATCATGTGACAATTGCATATAACATGAAATTAAATTCGTTTTTTGAGACTCATTCTGATATTTAAATATTAAATAAAAAAATATTTTGTTTATTTAATTTATTTTTCTAATAGTACGTTTACATTGTACCGGATTTCGTTAACCCAGTGGGTTTCAATTGTCAATTTCTTTACACATATGTCAAATAAATAATCATAAAGTAGGTTAACCCGTTCTAATGTACATGCCGTTTAAGATCCTACATCAAAAAATCCTTTTCTATTCAATATTGTTCACATAATTTTTATTAAAAATTAGGGACAAACCTAAACCGACAAATTTAATTTTAAAGGACAAATGGGATTAAATCTTTCATTTTTGTATAGAAATAAAAATATATATAAAAAATCATCAAGGAGAGAAGGAAGGGCATGGTTCATGGATAAAAAATTGAATCAAAAATCCATTCTTATATTTGTTATTACCTTTTCTCCCAAAATTTTCAACATATTGATCCTACTGTCTTCTGAAGTTGTGCATACAACTTGCAAATGGGAATTTATGGCAAATTCAATTAGCGAGGATCTGCAAAAAAAAGGCAATTGACCAACGTTTTGTTGTTGTTGTTATTTTCATTTTCAATATATAATTTTTTTTTTCAATTATTATTTCATGGTCTATGTCTTTGTCAGTTGCTCAATAAACTTTTAATTTTTTTGCTTTGCTTCTGCTGCAACAACATTGGATAGTTGTTTACATTTTTCTTTCACTTATTTTTTTTTGGAATATGATTGTTAGCCTGTAATTTTTTTCTATGTTTCATGTGGTTGTTGGTGGAAAGCTTTTTTTGTGCAATTAAATATAATTATAAGTTTATACCCATAAATGAATGAATGAAACTTAAATCCTGTTACGATGTTTTGTTATGAATTTTGTAGTAGTAAAAGTTGTTGTTGTTGCTATTTGTATTTTCTTTCACTTGTTGTGATGAAGAAAAAATACCGGTTATTTTGTTGCTGTTGTTAATAAATCATCAATTTTCAATGGCAAATATTTTTGGTTAAACTTCCTTGAAAGGCCAACTCTCCGACTACGATGGAGTGAATGGGCAAATAGCTTGGCAAAAAAAAAACAAATATTTGAAACTGTCAATTTGCAATTTGAATAATTGGGCGACAATATGTTTTCTCTGATAAAGGAAATGATCAGTATCTCTTCAGCCGGGAAATAACAGGCTGAATGGCCAAGGAGTTTGACAATAAAAAACAAATATTTTAACCTGTCAACTTGCAATTTTAATAATCGATATCATAATGGAAAATTTGTTATCGTAGTAGTAGTCGATTATTGAAGTATGGGAACAGACTACAAGAGAATGTTTTTCTCTGTTTTTTACTTCCGGCAATTGTCAGTTTGTTGGCGAGAAAGGTGAGGGGCTGCAATTATAATTGCCTAATTTATATCAGGACGTAGGACATGATTTATGCCCTGAAATTTTGTCATATAGTTAAACACTATTAAATTTAGGACTTATGTGTCAAAGTTTTAAGACATACTAAATAATGGGGTTAAAATTATCGAGAGTCGATTTTATACTATTTAGAAAGGGAAAAATTATACAAAAATATGAATTTTACTAGACAGAAATATAAGTACTACATATATTTTAGGCCGTATAGGAATTTCAGGCCTTGCTCATACATATGCTGAACATATTTCCGAGAACTTTGGCTTTTTGACCTACAATTAGACTAGGTTTTTAGAAATTGGACACTAAACTTAAATAGAAACAGACTGCACATTTTAAGGCGAGGGGCGTCATTAGAGCCCTCAACTGGTCTACTGTGATTGGGCTTTGCACACCAATATTGAATATTTGGAAATTCAGAAGCTGACTTAATGGTGTAATGAAAATACAGTAAACTGGGGATTGTAGTTTTCGTGGATATGCAGAATTTATTCTGATGTTACAGAAAAAAAGACATTGACTTTTTGAAAAAATCCTAAAAATGTAAACAAATGACTGTCTACGAACATTTTTGAGTTTTTCGGCAATAATTTTTTTTTCTGTAATTTTGTTGTGAAAGGTAGTGGACTTTACGCAACATATGTTTTAATGACAGTTTAGAAATATGTTCGGCGAGAATACAATCATGTTTTGATAACAAACAATAATAAACGTTAGTGACGTCTAAGATAATAACACCTCCAAAAATATATATAAAACTGCTCTCTATATTTATTGTACTATTAATAACTTTGTGATGTCTACAATTAACGAAATTTCGTTAACATACTTTAATAAAAAAAACCTGTGAAATATTAATTAGTATATTTTCACATGTTCCTTGATGATGACTATTGCCAATGCGCCCCCCTCCCTCACACATTTCTTCTACGCGATCTCCTTTTAACTACCGGTACAACAGGTGTTTTTTTTTTCGTTTCGTTTTCTTTTTTCTTCTTTTTAATTTTGATAACAAAATGAACTCTCAAAAATTTTTGGGAGTACAAAAGATAAGTGGGAGAGGAGGTAACTGGAACAGACTGCGGCTTCCAATCAAACACTCAAAAATGCAATCACAACAAAAACAACAAAAAATGTTTTCAAAACGAAAATTAATTTGTTGGTTTGCGATAAGAAAAGAACATGTCGATTTTGATGTTTATTTATCAGAAAAAAAACGACAAATTCTTGTTACCTACCTATCTACCTCATAAAATAAACACCGAAAAACAATAGAACTGAGAGCAGTGGGTAAACAAATGGCGACAACTATTAATTTTTCGCTGTGATAAAGTCCAATATGTTAGAAAATATTTTCGAAAAACAAAAAGAAAGTAATTGAAGTCGGAAATTTGTATTTGCATTGGAAAATGACTAACATAAATAATAAATAAGTCGCATAGAGAGCCATAGGGACTTAAAATAATAATTTTCAGGACCTTATATGTATACAGATTTTTTTGGCCATAGAAAACCCATAAACAAAATCTTTTAGGTACTAATATCCTTTTAAATAAACTAAAAAAAACTTCCAAAGGTTTGTCAAACTGTAGAATGCCTTCAAAGGAGCCCATACACATATGAACTATTATAAGCTTTTATTGGACCTTAAGAAGATCTATTATTAATATATTACACCTTTAAAATTTTTGTCAATATATGCAGAAAATATTCGAGCCACAAAAAACCTATATAAAAGTTTGTCATCATTGAAAGGCCTACATTGAAGAACATCTAGCTATGAAAGATCAATGATAGACCTATAGACGCCTTCAGCTTATAGAAGACCTACAGAAAGTTTTTAGATGACTTATAGAGGAGTAATTTGGATATTTTCTAAACACAGAATCAAATGAATGTCTTCTGTCTGTAATAGATTTTCTGGCGATTCTGAAGACTTATTTATTCTATTAAGGGAACCCCACCCATTCTCGATTTTAATTTTTCAAGATTTTCAATGGGCTGGTAAATCAATACCAATGTTTGTTAAGGTTTGTAACTTTGCACATATATTATTGAAGATTTAAAAGAGAAGAAAAATAATTTACAAAAATTTTTTGTTATTGTTTTTTTGTAATTAAAGAAAAGTCCTTATTTTTGATGGCGGGCATGATAACTCCTCACTGAAACATCGGAATCCGAAAATTCCAATGGTGTG